TTCGTATAAATTCCAAATCTACCCCCTTCCAAGTTCTTTCCCCCCCCCCCCCCCATTGATGCCAGCACCACTAGCAGTAGATATTAGGGATGCATTATGTAGTAGTTAGTAATAGGACGCGCGGGAAAGCGGGAAAGCAAGGATAGTCAGTCTAGTGCTGACCTGCCACGCTCAACACCATGTGAAAACAGGGTTCCTGCTTTTGACGGCTTCCAGCCTCTCCACAATGACCTTTCTCTGATGGCTCATCTGGCCTTCAGCGGTGGCATAGCCGAGATCCCCTTCCAGGTCGTCGTCATCAGCGCGGTACGAGATGTCCCCATATAGCTGTTGAGCTATACTATTGCTGTGCTGCCGCGTTACGGGGGTGGCATACGAGTATCGCCGCTGATGCTTTTGGTTTTGGTTTTGGTTTTGGCTGCGTTCTGGCTCGTACATGTTGAGAGTGCGAGCCGGGCCTGAAGCTTGGTAGCCTCTGTTGGATAGGGATTGGGGTTGGGATTGGGAATCCACCGACAATTTGGCAGAGCCAAAAGCTCCAGAGGGCTCGTCAGGGGCAAGGAGGGATTCATTGGGCGGACTCGCCGTGTCAAATCTGCCAGACCGGGGCATTTCTGCCGGCGCAGAGGCTATGCCAAGAAGATCATCAACAGGAACCCTGTTCGTTGGGATGGAGCCCGTGATATCAGCTTCGTCCAATGATTGTCGTTGGGCAGTGCTGCGGCGCATCTCGGACGAAGTCATTCTCATTGGCACAGCAACCGGGATATCGACGAGATCATCCCAAACACAGACTTTTGCTCGGCGAGTCAGCTCCAGGGGACCGTGATCCGGAGTCTTGAGAGCCTCCACTACGTTCCAGGCCTGGCCCTTCATGACAGCAATCTGCTTGGCAAACATGCGCTCCTGGAAGTCTTCGTCCATTTGAAATACTCTCTTGAGGGCCATTTGTGTCTCGCTCCACCACGCAGTGGAGGTGAGAAGTGGCAGGAAATGATCTCTGGTCTTTTGTGAGAATGGTCTGCCGATGAGATCAACTGGGAGGAACAGCCAGCCAAAGGGGAAGCTGCATTTATCATGTTAGCTGCGACAAATTCTTCTGTACGACCCAAGGAACGAAAAGAGTAACATAATTTTTGCAGGATGGAAACTAACCTTCGCCAAGCATCTGGATGCTTCCATGGCCACGAGAGCGAATTGTCAATAGCTCCGAGTGACATATCCGGCTCTTTTCTTTCGCGAGGAGAGGACGCTTTCATGGGGTTCTGGCGCTTGTAAGGATATGAGGCTCGAGTAGGCTGAGGTGGCATCTCAGAGGCGCCAATGGGTCGGACATTCATCTCTTCCTCATCTTCCTCCGTGACGGGCTCCATGTTGATTTGCACAGGGTCTGACGCCAGCGATACTGTGTTCGTCTCCCAGTCAACCTTGACCATCCAGTTATCGAGGCCTCGGTCTGTGTTCCTCATGATATAATCCAGAATAACAAGCTTCTCCAATTCCTCCCGGAACGACTGCTTCAGTTGTTCTGTCCATACAAATTTGTTGGCTCCCGGGGGCTGGTTATCGCGACCATCATGCTCTTCGTCACTAGATCCTGCATCATCCGCAGCAGAACTAGATGGCCGGCAATTATCAGCCCATCGCTTCTTCTTGTGCCGATTGGCATCATTTGAACGGAAACCCGCCCAGTACTGGTCCGGCCAGGGGTTCTCCCGTAGAAAGACGTTGGCGTCTTTGAAGCCCTTGAGAAAGACTTGGAAGCTGCCGGGCTTGGGAGGGAGAGGCTTCTTCTTCTTTTGAAAACTGCGCCGATCCCAGAAGGGGTAGTGGAATGACTTTGACGATAGCCATACTACATCAGTATATGGGACCAGATGCGTGCGTAGCTGGCAATCAAGCACATAGGCCGCCGCTTCGCTAACGTAAGAAAGATTGGGAATGAGACTGTATATATCGTAGAGCCACTCCGTTAGCATTCAAAGGTATCACAAGTCTATTTATAGACGTCTGGTTGATGAATCTGGGGGGGGGGGGGGAATCTTTTCAAGACTTACCAAGCTCTTCCGAAGAAGCAAGGGAATAGGTTTCGATGTATCCATTTATTCCACTTGGGGTTGCCTGCTGCGTATGGCTCTTCATCTTTGGGTTTGAAAACACCAACAATCTTTCCATCAGGATCTCGGGCAAAGTAGCTGCCGGAGCTGCCCTGCGAGATCATGCTGGGATGGACCTCTTGCCGGATTGCCTGGCGTACGCTCTCGATGACAGCATCAAACTCTCCCCTGGTCATGACGCTGAGCTGGGCCTCGGCCAGAGCCTCGGCAGATATAGGCCGGACGCCCTCGGGCGGCTGGAAGACGGAGTGGTGAATCTCCAGCCGCTCTTCCTCGCCCATGCTGTGTCTGCCCTTGCGCTTGAACTTGGCCGCAATTTCTTCGGCCCAGCGTTCCAGCCGGGCATTGATGGCCTTGATGTCGACGCCGCCATTGCTTCCCAGGCGGCGACGGAATTTGGGCCTCGAAGGGCCAAGCTTGGGGCTGGTGACGCTCGATCGAGGGCGAGGCCGGGAGGGAGCATATCGGGGCGCAGACGAGGCCTGGAGAGATGCGGTCGATTCGGCGAGGAGGTCAGTGTCGGAGTCGTCGCTGAGGTCTGCCTGCGCCAAGCGCTCGTATCCCGTGGTGGCGGGGCGGTATCGAGGCATGGTAGGAGGTAGGAGAGGCACTCGATGCTGCTGCTGCTGCTGTTGTTGATCAAAAGAGTAGTAGTAGGGATCGAATTATGGTGATGGACTCGTGGCCATTTGATTTTCGTGCAGTGGCCGTTTGACTTTCTCGATAGTTCAGCCTCGCTGCTGATGATGTAGGCTTGGGGCTAGCGAGAGCTGCGGAGTGTTTCACAAGCCTCTTCCAGGGGAGAAGCCAAAAAGAGGGAAAAAAGGGCCACGTCGAAATAGGGAAACAAAAAAGGGTAAAAAGAGCGAAGGGCGCGACAAACTCCAAGCTTGATGGAGAGAATGTCGACAGCGGCGTTGAGCAACGAATTGACGGCGTGGGAGAAGATGCGCAACAGACGAAATCACGGCGTCATTGTAAGGAGCGAATTCCGTGGCGTTTCAAGGTCGAGCCCGTCCCGAGAGCCTCGATGTTTTGGCGATGGATGGTGCGGGTACCGATGCCGGATGTGATGCAGTGCGCTCCAGTTGCACAAATCGAGCACAAGCTGATCTGACGATACAAACTGCTTGTTTGCGGCAGAGCCAAAAAAAAAAAGGCGACGGTAATACAGTAGGTGAGAACAAGCAACATGTCATCGCGGCTGACCCGTTGGGAACCGCCCACTTCGCTTTCCCGGGTGGATGGCGCGTCCCTGAAGTCACTTTTTTGGGGCTCGGGCCTTTCCCAAGCAGGAACCAGACCAGACCAGCTTCCGATTACTTAAGCCATTGCTGCGTAGTAAGTACCGTAGTTGTACTAACGTCCCTACTCCAAGCCAGCCAGGTCAGTCATGCAAGGGGCTCTGCCTTGAGCACCTATGCACCTATTAATGGAGCACTCCGTATACTATCGGTGTCTGGGGGTTCGGGATTCTGCTGGTAGCAGTAGACATTGGTACTAAAAATGCAGTACTATAGTGGCCCAAAATACCTGGTTGCAGCGGCATGAGGCTGAGATTCATTTGATTTTACATTGGGCGGGCAGGCATCCGAGCCCAGAGCTGCGGTTCGCGGTTCAGCTGTCAAGCATCCGCCACAACCCATGTCTCTCCGGGGCTCTCCGGGGCTCGTAGCCGGCTGGTGGCGGGTTGAATGCATACACAAAAGGTGCTGCTAGTAGTAACCGTTAGTGCTGGTGTGGTATGTCTGATACGTGTGTGTGCGTGTTTGGAGCAGCTTCTCGGGTAGGTTGTAGTATGTGATGGCTGGGCCGCTGCCGCGTGTGCCAACCAACACGTTGAGATTCTCCTTTGGAGCTGGCGAGCAGTGCTCAGTGATGGCGCTGCTGCTTATCTGAGACACGTCCAAGGCCTCTCTTATAGCGGCTGGCCACCTAGTACAGACCGCTGATACGAACATGGATAATCTGGCAATACCTGGCGTAAATGATATTATCAAGCTGAAACCTCCCATGTGCATGTGAAACTGCAGTGTCCCAGCTGCGAGTATCGTATCATGTGTAGGTACTGTACGCATATGGCCTGGTACGGCATCCGGGAAATGGCCTTCAGTGTCTCGGCTGGAGTGCTGCGTTGCGGCCTGAATGGGGACCTCGATAGGACTCAACTGCTGGGATCAGCCAGCCCCATGCCCCTCTTCGCCTGTCTGATATCATTATGCGGCCGAGAGCACTAGTTTGTCATGTTATACGCCCTTGCATTATCTTGCGGAGAGCGGGGGCAAGTCCATCACCTGGTCAGTTCAGATTCGGGACGTTCATCTTGTCTTGCGGAGAGATGCCTCTGCAGCCAACCGGTATGGTGATACGAGGACAGCTGCGATGCTGCATTGATAAGCATCCATCTTTAAGAGATGACATGGATCAGTAGAATAAATGAGAAAATGTCTGTAAAAGATAAGGATATAGTAACAACGAAGTTTGTGAGCCCGATTGGCGCCCATAGAAAGAAGAAGAGGAAGAAAGAAAAGTGAAGAAAGGAGAGCGACGGGGCATTTTCAGCGCGCCGAGCCTCTCGAAAGTTGCCACCATGACAAATGAAAAGAAAGTCTAACCCATTCCCATGCATGCCACGCAGTAAATCGCGGTATAATCCAATCTCTCGCGATATCTCTATTGGTTAGTAAGAGATGGCCGCTGTAGCTGGTGTTCTTGTCTTGATTCCATCCTATAACCCAGATTCATACAAGTACAGTATTGTTTTCCCTCCCCCCTCTTTTGTTGGCTTTCTTTTTGTTTGATTCTCTCACCCTGCCACCTTTTCTCTTGAGAGATAAATGTCTCAAGGTTCCATGACCTTGTAACAAGATCGGCATTTTTTTTTTTTTTTCATATGTCTGTCATGCATCTCATCGTTATGTTCATCTCCGGTAACTCACAGCCGCTTGATAGCGTGACGCGTAGTTATGCTTGGAATAATCCACCGATTGGCTGTACAGATACACTCGTCTTCGAAGTTCCATCTATGCTTCTGCTATTGCATAGCTCGTGCGACTCCACGTCTAGAGGGTTTGGGCTGGTGATCTTTTCACCAATCCAAGAATCTTCCGATACTGGAGGTAGCCCAAGACTCGAGCCGATGATTCGAGGAAACAAATGCGCCAAGATGAGCCGGATAGATGGGAGACATGTGCAGATGATGCTGACGTTGACTTCGACGGTGGACCAGTAGGCCACATTCCAGTGGTCCCACGTTGGATTTGCCGAGTTGCCAAAGTGAAAGAGTGACCTGAGTCGGACAATGGAGATGACTGTAGCTCTAATGATGAACAAGTCAGTAAGTTTACCCCCCCCAGTAAAGATGTTTAAGGAATCATACATTACTCCGGTCAGAAACATGCTGGCTGCACTTAGCTTTCTCTTCCAGTGGGTGTCTAGCTTGTAAAGCTGGATTAAAGGAATTGCGAGGAGCCAGATATCTATCGCGATATTGACAGCCGCGTTTGCCCACCCGAGTGCGTTGATATTAATACACTGCCCTTGGGAGGCGTTGCTACCGTTGAATTGCTCCCAGGCAAATGTCAGGGGCGCACACTGCACGAGAGTTCCGATGACGAAGCTGATGCAAGAGGCGGCAAGCAAAACGATTGTTCCCCAGACCAATTTGCGAAAACGGGTCCCCGTAAACAGGTCGAGGTAAAAGAGCGTGAGACTAGTCTTGATAATCGTCATAATCACCACGTAGAAAATCTCCATTGCCACAAACCATTGAGCAAGCTTGGAAATGGCACTTGGAGTCAGCGTCCAAATATCTCTGCCTAGCCCATTTTCAACGAGTCCCCAGACATTGAAGGCGATGCAGGGTATGCCGATAAATGCTGCTGTAAACAGCGCCCAGTCATCTGGTCCAAACCCTTGTCTGATGCTGAAGAGGAACTTGGATGCGAAGCGAATAACAGCAATGGTGAGAGTTATGAAGCCGAGGGAATAATTCATTGCCTTGAACCTTGTGGAACGATCTCGAACTGGGGAGCCGCACGAGTCCTGGGCGAGGCTCATCGTGACTAAGACGAAATGTTAGCCATGCCAGCAACAAGTGCCGAACAGCCCAAAAGGGGAGGGAAAAGGAGAAAGAGAAGCATACGTAGACTGTCAGAGAAGCTGCATGATGACTTGAGGCAGGATAAAGTATGAGATGGCTGGTCTACATGCTTGCAAATGCAAGAGATATCGAGGTTGGAACAAGCGGTAGTAACGCAATTGAGCTATCGAATTATTAAAAAAAAAAACCCTTAGTTAGCCTGTAGAACATTGGATACTGCTATTTTGAACAGTAGAGAGGCGCGATATGAGTAAGATGTGCCCCGGCAGAGAGAAGAACAAAAAAAACTACACTTACAGCGCACAATGGCAGGGCAATCCAGCCAGATGGCTTTGCTTCTGCGTTGATGGACTGCTCAACAGGACTCAGTTCTGTGGCGTTTTCGAGTCGCTGGTCTGATCTTAGAGAGAGCGTAGTAGCAGTAGCTGCAGTAACAGCAGCCGCTATGATGGCAAGTGATAGTCTCCGAAGCATGGTTGTTGCTCTCTTCTTGCTGCTAAAGCATGAATGACGTGAACGATCAAAAGTGCCATCGCGACCCGGGGGAACACAAGATAAAGGCAGGGTATGCCGATGTTCATAACAAGCACCCCGGCTCAAAACAGCTCCCTTCAACTTTGCTCCCAGATGGCAGTCGCCGTCCTGATCGCCTTCCGATGGGTCTTGACCTGTTAGCCTCCCCCCTTGCTTGCATGGCTGCCGCCGTGAGTGGAGCGGCGGCGCTCAGGCTGCAGGGCAGGACTCGTGAGCAAGGGGAAAAAGAAACCGGGAAGTACTAGTTCAATATTTTGTTTCTAAAATAATTTGTGACAAGTGATGTAATATCGTAATCTTGGTGGCGGTATTGAACTTGTGACTACTTTGTGTGTAGTAAAGCAGTGATATCGCAGTAAAAGGCAGTGGAACTGGCGAGACGTCAGTTTAACTCGGCCGGTGATAATATGGGGCAGCGGGATTCCGTGATCTTTGTCCCCGGGATCTAGTGGCTCCACAACATCTCACTTACATTTGAAGTCAAGTTCGGTCCAAGGTGAAGCTGCGCCAAAGAAAACCAAGGCTTGATGGAAGGGAGAATCAGGAGGGCTGCCCCCAAAAAATCAACCCACCACCAATGTAGTCTAGCGGATTGATTTGACTTTGCAGTGTGGAATTAGATCGCAGGCGGCAATCCTTTTGCCTGCTGCAAGACCGGTGGTGGCTGGCAGCAGATGAATATTCGTACACAAGGTAGTAAAGGTGATGATACTGCTAGCATGTACGAGTACAGAATGTATGATGCTCGGCGTCTCCACAAGTGTGCGGCTGCAAGGACCACTTTACACCGAACCAGAGCATCATGGTTCCCTGTCAAAGATTCAGGCCTCCCTCAGATTGTTCCACGTCCCAAGGCGACGGACGACAAGTTCACTGGTCGGTCCCAGCAGCAGTGGTACTAGCAGATGGTAGGTTTAGACCAAACAAGATGCCATTTGAAACACGGAGTGAGGCTCCCTTTTTTCGGGGTCCAGATTAGTAGGCAGTATTAGTGACAGCAGCAGTGACTATCGTTGCTTTTTCTCGTTGGAGGTGTCAGATTTGGGCGAGACCAGATTTGGGAGAGACCAGCTTTAGGAGAGGCCAGCTTTGGCAAAACAACGGCCAAGGCAGCCTCCCATCCTGCCTTTTACTTTGCTTCGTTTCCTTCTTCGTTTCCCTCCTTCTTCTCTTTAGTGAGATGGAGAGCAATGTGGTGGCTTCCTTCTTTTTAAGGGAGAAGGATTCTCATCTTATACGCCCCTCCCTTTTCTCCCAGTGTGCAATATCAATGGTTATATATCAGATGAGACAGATGGGCTGCACCAAGGGCCGAGGCAATTTCTGCCCCAGATTGATAGCAACCCATCCTAGACAGTGCCTCGCTTATTTAGCTGTTGCTGTATAAACCACTTTTCGCGTCTGAATCAAAGCGTTGTTTATCACCCACCTCGCGTACGAGATGGTGATGACTGTAAATTCATGTCGAGCAGCGATGCGAATGATTTTCCCCGGGATTCTTTGCAGATGCCGTCCATAAGACGTACATGTAGGTTTGCTAGTACCGCATCATTGAGAGACAGCTGATGGTGAATTCGGCGATCGCATGGGGTAGATCCAGGCCGCAGGACCGGCCAGGAACCTGCGAGGCGGTACAAAAGCGCGCTCACATCTCATTGTTGACGGCATGTATGTATGTGCAGTAGAGAGCAGGCCCCCAGCCATCGAGGCCGCGCTGACAGAGCTGCTGGCAAGCCTGGCTTCTAAAGAGAAGAGGCAAAAAAAAGCCACAGGCAGGGGGAACCAACACGGGACGAATCACGGCCTATCACAGTCGTCCAGCCGGTGTGGACCAAACTGGGTCAAACAAAAAGAAAAAAAAAAAAAAAACACACGCACACACAAAACACACATGACCAACAGCTGTGGCGATAACCCCGGTAGATACTTTGCACGTCTCGTATTAACCTAGTGGTGATGCATAGTATCGGTACCTAGGTGGTTATGCATAACGCGTGCTGCGGCTGAGTTTGGCATCGTAAGCATTCAATGAGTACATGTATTCATTTCGCATCTTAGTTCTGATTCGGGTACAGTAATGTAAAACTCTGTCAGCTGGCCAATCGATCGGTAGCCAGTAGACGAAATAGTTGAGCTGGTAGAGATTGGACGTAAAACTTTCATTATGCTTCTTGAGCCTCTGGTATTACTTGTACGTATTGCAGCAAAAGCTGAGTTTTATACCTTGTCATGAGCGACGCTGGCATCGGCTTCTTAGTTGGTGGTAAATTTCTGGCTGCATGTTGTATGCCGCAAACTGGCATTGGTTTGAATCACAGACGGGCCCCTGTCCCCTGTCGCAGAGACAGTTTCTCAAATGAAACACAGTCAAGGTTTGCAACTCCGGCAGAGGGCAAGTTGTAGGTTTGGTACCACGCAGTCGAAAGCAGCACCCTCCCTGCAGGGCAGCTGCCGTTGTGCACTCGTTTGCCATTGATCTTTCTTCGGGCGAAAAAAAAGGGGGGGGGGGGAAATATTCATACCTCGTCATCATCTAGATAAATCACATGGCGTTCTCCCAAAGTTCTCTTCAAAGTCAAGACCAAGTCATCAATAGCAGTTAGGAATTTCAAGTAGGAAGCCACGGCAACGCAATACCGTCGGTAATTCTCGTCTCGAACAAGCGATGTGGTCAGATCAATATTCTGACGCTGTGCAGCGGACAGAGATTCGAAACAGGTGCGAACAAGGGGCACAGGAAGCCTTTCAGGGAGAGGGGTTCCAGTCCGCAGGGCTTGCTCGACGATTGTCAAGACGGCCATGATATTTCCAATGGCGACGTCATCCAATATGCCGAGAACATATACGAGTCTCTCCTGGAACCCTTTAGGAAGAGTGGTTGATAGAAAAAGAAGCCTTCCCAGTGCCTGATTCATATTTTGACACTGCTCTTGGGCGCAATGCAGGGCGGCTTGGCCGAATGGACCAGAACTAAAGTCTGCCTTTAGCATCGCTATTGATCCAGTCACGGATGATAGAACCTCGGCAACTTCCAACGTGAGGTCCTCTATGGCAGCAGCGCTGATGGGGCCGTCTCTACCGGTGCGGCTCCAATGCGACAAAAGCAGAGCGTAGTAGTCTGACAGTGTTTGTATAGTGTTGGCCAACGTCTTGCACACGTGCTCGGTGGCAGATGGAGGCTTGGGGAACAGCTGAACAATGGTGGCGGCCGCAAAGCCTATGAGCACGTCGACTAGTCGCCTCCAAAACGCTTGATAGCCCAAGCCCGGAGATCCATACTGTGGTTGGTGGGCAAAGTCATAAGAGAAGCCCAAGATGAGAATCATTGTGACTCCACCCATGGCGGTTGCCTGCACATAGGCCAGAGGCAAGAAGATCCTCAGCCACATGGCTATCACGATAAACACGGCAGTGCTGGCAGCCAGGCCGTAGGGGTTCCCATGACCGCTGCCAGATCCGATATACCATGCCACAAGGCCAAAGACACCTCCAATCACCGTGCCGAGCGCTCTGGAGATGAGAGAAAAGGTGAAGTCGGCCATGTACAAGAGCACGCAAGTCTGGGCGGTGATGACGGCCCACAACCCCTTTTCGCGGTAGAAGAAGCCGGCCGAGTTGGGGACGGCGGCCGTGATGGCAGTGGCAAGCGTCACAACAACCATGCGCATCGCGTACATGCCGGCCGGGTTGGTGATCCAGCGATATGTGCCGACAATGGCTCTGCCCATCCGAGTTCCGCGATTGGGAGACTCGTAGCCACGAATGAGCCGAAGCCGCTGGCGCACCGCCTTGGACTGCTGGTCCAGCGCATCCGGGTCGTCTGTAGCACCGTCGTTGGAGACACCGGCAACAGGCACGGTGTCCTTGCCGCTCACAAGCCATCCAAAGGCGTAGCGGATGCGGGAGGGCAGCCAGATGCGGTGACGTGTCTGCGACGTTGTCAGATGCAAAACGTGCTTCAGCATGGCTTCCGTCGCCAAGGCTGCGCTGATGATTCGCTCCTCCAGCACCATGGCCACCATCATGGCTCGCAGGGATTGTGGATGCAAGGTGGAGGTGCTGGCATCCGGGGCCCTGAGATGGCCGTCCTGATCAAAGAGATCGGAATGGCACTCCAGAATGGCTTCGGTGGTAGTGGCCGTACAGGAGACGCGGGCGGATTGCAACGCTGCCAGGGTCGTCTCCAGACGTCCAATCAAGCCGTCAAACTCGTGCTGGGATGGCTGGCGGATCCATCGACGGGTGTTTACCGTGTGGATGCACTCACCGACGAGTGCGATGGACTCGGAACAGGCTAGCCTCACCTGCGCGGTTGTCTCGTTCATCGCCTCAGTCATCCGGACTCGGAGCTCGCTCTGCTCTGGCGTCCTCAGGGCATTCATCAGCTCCGCGTATTGCAGCACATGGCGCTGGCCAATCTCGTGCCCTCCCTTTTCGGCCGCCGCACCGTCGCTTGAGTGCTTGTCCAGCTGCAGGCCCGCCTGGTCTACCTTTTGCAGGCCGGTGATGGTGGCGATGTGAAAATCAAGCAGGGACACGCTGGACAGCATGGCCTGGCGGATGCATTCTTCCAGGCCCTTGACGTCTTCTGCGTTCCATCGGCCGCGGGAAACGTCGAGCGGCAGGAAGGCCATCTCTGGAGCCATCGACTTATACAGGGCCACGATGCCGTTCTTGGTGGCCTTTAGCTGGCCCAAGTCCAGGGACTCGCCATCGAAGCGCCTCCGAGTCAGGTCCAGCGGCGTGTCCAGCATCCGGACGAGCTGTTCCATCTTCCGGAGCACCACGTACGAGGTCGACTGCGGGAAGAAGATGAGGCAGCAGGCAGCGCCTATCCCGACGCCAATGGCCCCCGGTTTCACCAGCGTCTGCCCCAGAAGCGGCGTAAAGGACGGCAGCAGGGGTCCGATTAGCAAAAAGACATCCGCCACGATGGTACCGAAGAGGTGGAGAAACGTCAGTTTGATGTTGCCGGCCTTGAGGCGGGCCAGCAGGTAGATAAAGGTCAGAATCATGACATAGTACACCACCGTGACTCGGGCATCCAGCATCGCGCCCTGGTAGACCAGCTGCTGGCCAATGACGGTGGCATTCCCCCCAGAGCTCTCTGCTTGAGCCACGGCCGCCTGCTGCAGGGCCTGGAGCTGTGCTTGGGTGTCGGCTGCGGGTCGAGCCGCCAGCGCCGCCTTCATGGTCGCGATGCCCCAGGCCCAGCCAAGGCACATGCCAAAAAGGAGGGACAGGGATCCGAGCAGGTAGATGAGGAGGATGCCGGCGGGTGGCGTCACGAAGAGCACCAGCGCGGCAAAGAAGGTGGACGAGCCAATGCTATGCAGCGACGGCCCAATGTATATCAGGAGGGAGGCCACCCAGGCCGCCACGGAACAGCGGAAGAGCGTCTTGAGGTCATTGCCGTTGAGGTGGTTGAGCCACGAGGGCAGAGTTTGCGTCTTTGTGGGAGTGGGAGGCTGCTTGGCCGTGGCGCCATTGTTGGCGCCACTGTCAGCAGACATATCCGCCGACATTGCCTGTCTGATTGTATGTATTGCCGTCAACCGAGCATCAGAGCATCAGAGCATTGATACTGGGAATGCTGGGAATGCCGGCAAGGGGAAGCGTCGAAGAAGGTTGGCAGCAGCGAGCTCGGCGACCACCCCGTGTCGAGTTGTCAACAATACAGTATACTGTACGGTGCTGGATCAAGGGCAGAGGAACCGCTAGCGCTAAAGCAGCTTTAGGCCCTGTCTGGAAAAGGTTCAGCTGATCCAGCAATACGGAGCGCAGGGAGCACAGGGAGCACAGGGAGGACAGTCAGCCAGTCAACACCCCAACATGATCGGCACTTTGCCCAGCTGTGGTTAGCAAACGGTGATCTCGGTTGTTATAGGGAGTCGAGTAGGGAAAAGGAAGAGCAGTTGTGGCATATCTACATACGTAGGTTGCTGGGATCGCTCACTGACAAGGAGGCCGGATTGCCCGCACCCCGTTGACTGAAGCTGAAAGAAAAGAGTGGGAGACAGGAGGAGCGAAGGAAGGGGATAGACGCATAATAGGGCAGGGTACAAGGAATGAAGGGGAAGGGGGGCCAGAGATGGGAGATAGTTTAAGTAGTTCGTGGGATTCGATTGTATACGACGATACGGGGACTGCTGCAAGCCTGTCAAGGGACGGGCGATACGGAGAAGGTACTATAGGCTTGGTAGGGTACAACAGAGCGAGATAGGGGACTTGGGACAGTCTCCTTTCGGCGAACTCAAATGAGCGTTCGGACACTCCCTGGCACTAAGAAGGAATCTCTTACCTTCCAGAAGCAATCAATCAATCGAGTCTTCTCAATCGGGGCTGTAGTGACGATGCTGAATAGCTCTGGGACTTTTAATTTCGAAAAGGAACGCTGTCGCTTCGCTCAGCTGGGAGACATAGGCCGGCCGAGGTTTCAGGCAGCTTCAGCTCTTTCATGCGGCTTCAGCTGGAAGCAGCAATAGCTCGCAGGAGGAGACGTCGGGTGAGCTAATTGGCGTCAGTTTTGTCGGTTTTACTCAAACCACGCGCACAGGAGAACAGGGGGCTATCATGGCTACCTTGGTTGCTTGGCTACCTGGCAGGGGAGCGAGCAAGGAGGAGCATGGCCGGCCTTTAGACCCGACCAAGAAGCATCTCTATCGGCCGGTCTCTCTCTCTCTCTCTCTTTTCCTCTTCTTTTCTCGCGTCTCACGCGCCAAGGGACGACCCGAACGCTCGGAAGGGTCGTAGCGTCATGCCCTTTCCCGGTGCGGCGGTCGTGGTACTCGTATGGAGCAAGTAAGCGTCGGTAGAATCGGGTAGCCAAGCAGCTCAGCGGTGGAGACGCGTGGTGGAGGAGCTGGGCACTTTGACAGCAGCCAGCTCGAGAGCTGTCGAGATTCCCCTAGCCTGGAAGCAGCAAGGACAGGGCTGATGCGCGTATCTAGCGTCGTGCTACTACATGCAGTATAAACCACTGTCAGCGATCTGGATCTGAAGCTGCTGGAATCGAAATCGAGGGGCACGACGCAGTAAGCAATGGGGGAGCCCGATTCGACTCATACCTGGAGAAACAAGCTGTGCGAGAGAGAGAGCTTATGTGTGCGTGTGTGTGTGTGTGTGTACAACGCCCTTGCTTGCTCGCCGTGCTTTGCCTTGAGCAAGTTGCTCGGAATTGGGGAGCTGCTGGGTGGGCATATGAGGTCATGTGGCGGCGGCTTTAGTTGGGAATGGCTCCCAAGCCTCCGAGCCTCCGAGCCTTGCGGTTGCCAAAGCTGGTAATTATGCAAGCCCGATGCACAAAGCTGAGAGTGCCCCAATGCCCGTGGTTTCGATAAACACCCCCACTGCTGGGTGGCTGCGGGCGCTCTCGCTGTCTAGGCTCGATTCAATGCTGGCGGCCTTTTCGGTGTGAGAAATTGGTTCCAAAGGGAAAGCAGCAACCCCCGGAGCCACCTTTCAGCCCCCAGATGGACGTCCCTGTCCCCTATCAAGGCCTATTAAGGCTGGCCCAGCTGCCCTTGCCTGGGGAGGAGACGAGTTTGGGTTTGAAGCGAATTAATTTCACCACCCAACGCCCCTTTGGCAGCTGGATGTACATGCTGTGCTCTGTCGGTGGACCGAGTCAGTCATTCCTGCTCTGCCGTGCCACGGTTTAGTTACATATCTTGGCGGCAAGCTGCCACTACGCCGGCTCCTATTGGAGAGCCGATCAGCCACACATCATGCGTGACAACGCTTTAGGAGACACCGCACATGAGGTCGCAATCTCGCTCTGGCGGGCGAGTCTCAGGCCAACAAGAGGCGTCGTATTGGTCCCTCCGAGCACTACTCGCGTATGCAATTCGGCCAGCGTAGCACTGCGGGGTTGTGCTCTGCGTGTTATATAAGGAGGCCATCTGGACCAACAAGTCGTCGTGGTGGCCACTTGTCGTTTTATTTTTTATCCCATCATCTCTAGAGCTCAAGAGCTTCACGCCCGGCTTCTCTTTACTCTTTGCCACTTAGATCAAGCCTAGTTTATATGTATACATATATACCCGAGCCTGTTGAGACATTGGAGTAGCAGTACGTGGTCTACCTAGCCAATGAGTGCAGTCTGAAGTATATCAAAATCACCATCTAACACCAACAACAGCAACTCACACCGCACTACAATACACACTACACATCAACCCCACCAATCATGTCTACTCTTACAGAGTTTACCTACTTTCCACAGCTTCCTGCCGAGCTGAGGATAGAGATATGGAAGCTCGTGCCTGAGCCGGATCGCCTCATCGGCTGGGTCCCCTGCTCCAACTGCGAAGACATCTGCAAGCAGAGACCAAACTGCCGGGAAGAGGAAGAGGCCAAGCCGCTCGCCAGACAGCAGTGTATGGAGGAGAACCACCCTGACTGGCTGGTCAAGTACGTGGCACACCCACGCAAGAATGCCATCTTCGCCCCTCTCCACGCCTGCCGCGAGTCCCGCCAAGTGTGGATGACCAAATACTTTCAGCCTCCCCGGAACGTCACGGTCAATGTATCCGGGACGGAGATTCCCGTCAAGTTCAACGTGCCTTTCCTCAACTACGAGCATGACGTCTTCACAATGTTTGGGGCCTGGAGCTCAACCAGCATCTTTGACGTCGGCGGCCCGATGGAGGCCCCGGTCGAGCCATTCATCGGCCTCGACCGGTCACGCATCCAGCACGGCGGATACTGCGAAATTATGGACCAGTTCTTCCCCGCGTCTACTCTATTCGAGGTCAACGAGCTGCCAGCCCTGAAGAGGCTGTCGCTGATTACCATGGGGCCCCAGCCCCGGGCGGATAAGCAGCAAGAGTCCGGGGTACTTATGCAGATGACCCCGTGCACAGCTGAGCGCTATGACTGCCAGATCGTGGACCTGGTGAGCCCTGAAGCCGGTGAGAACTCTGCCTTTATGAATGAGTCTCGGCCGCGAGCCCACCGGCACACGAAGCAGAAGAAGTTTGACCTGTTCTACGACGAGTGGAAGGCCTGGCTGTGGCACGTTGCAGAGGCCGACGCACATTTCCGCATCAAATCAAACGCCGCTTCTTGGTGGAAGGTTGTCAAGTTCTCCGTGGCAGACAACGGGGCTCATCACCACCCTCGCACCGCCGAGGACTGTCCCCTCTACCCAGATAGATGCACCGGGCCCGCCGGACACGGGCGATGTGTTATTGACAACTGGGAGTCAAAGTATGAGCTTTCCTGCAAGTATCTGGTGGAGGATAAGTGGGCCAATGTCCTGCAGCACGACCTCGGCGTGAAGCTTGGCGGGTGGCAGCACCCCATCAACCGAGACGAGAAGAACAAGGAAGCAGAGCGTATCCGCGACTACATTGACGAGAACTACCAGGGAATCTGGCAGTGGATTGATGACGAAGAGTAAACACCTGCTTTTCTTGCTTTTTTTCCCTTTGGACAAGAAGAGCGGGGGGAGCAATTGGGATCTGGATCTTTGTGACGGCATTTCTGTGACGGCCTTTCAGGTATTGGTTATAAGCGATTGGGTTTACGGCGCCAAAAGGCGGTATTCAGGATTTTGGTGGGCATATTGTACGAGTATCTAGGGCATGGCTAAGCGACGGACTTGAGATTTCCCCATTCCTTTTTTTTGTTTTTCCTTTTCATTTCATTTGCGTTTGTTTATCCGGTCTTTGTCATCATTGGGTCAGGTGGAAGCAGGTTGAATGTAGGGAAGCCAAATGGCATGTGATGATTTTCCCCATTGGAGCGTTAATAGATACCTTTGCTGTTGCACTCGTTTAAGAGCAAGCCACGGATATACAAGATTGATTATTATTAATCCAGCCTTGGTGATGCCCGAGTGATGCTACCTGGTACCACCCTCTACCACCCTCTGCAGCACGATGATATCACCCGCTGCACGGCTTTTCGCTTTGTGCATCTCTTGCGTCTAAATCCGTGGTCTGTGTCCCCCCAAGAGCTTGAGGCTGCCGCATGTAGTCAAGGCCCGGAGAATTCGGCGGAGTGGCTGCACCACCTCTGAAGCCGCTAAAAGAATCAAATCAATCCATTCATTTGATTGCATTGACCAAATCCCCCACTCACCCTCGGCCCGTGCAGCCACGGCAAGTGGAAGCCGCAGCGAGTGGGTAGCAGCTGCCACCCACGGCGTCCAGGCTATGCGCAACACCCAGCAACTGCCGTCACCATTGCTAATATTAGTAATGCTGGTCTTGGGATTTGGATGCTTACTCGTTACGCCCGCGATTCAACCATCAATTGAAGCATCTTGATTGTCTCCTTGATTTCGGCTTTTGAGATAAAGGAAAATAAATCCCACCAATCCTCTTTTCTGAGATACCCTGACCCTTGCCCACCTGCCGACTGCAGAAATGGGCAAATCGAACATCTAATAAGTTGCATACAAGGCGCGCGAAAAGAGTAGAAACGCCCGTTTTTATCCTCAACTGGAGTTGTGCCCTATTTTGTGTATGTATAGTAGATATAATCAGTCTGACCGCTTTTTATGTAAGGTAGATGTTGAAGATTGTTTGATGGGCTCTCTACATGTAACCTATAACTAGCATCTCCAATCAGGACTGCTAGGAATGCTTGCGTTGACATTAGGAAGCTGTGTTGGACTGTGGTTATCGCTTTTTGTTAATATTGAGAAGGGGATGAAATGGGGAAATGAGTCAAGGCCGTGTATTCTCGTCATCAACATCATCTTCTCTATTGTCTTCGTCTCTAGCACTAACATCACCGTTGGGGTACCTCTAGGCGCACACGACATGAGCTTCCACAAGCGATGGTGTAATTGAAGGTATCGCGGCGAGCATTAGCAATCATCTTTTGCAAATACCCGTCTGAGAGATTTTGGTACTTTTTTTTTCTTCGACACAGATTGCGCATGTAGCAGCGTTCAGCTTGCAATCAAAACTGCTTCATTGTCCGCGACCAACTCAATAACCTGGAGATGTGCCATCTTCGATGATGCAATGTGGCTGGCTCCCTGCACGAGAATACGCTTGAACGCAGCGAGAATCAAATCTTACCAAAAAAACAAAAAAAGCAGAATCACCTCTCGCGTCTTTCAAAAGCATCAATCGCAGTAAATAAATTGGAGTGGCATGTACCTACTGTAAGCTACACGAATCCATCGGCTTCGCAGCGACAATGACATCCACGCCTTGGGTATTCATCTGCCCCTCCTCCAGAGGCATTGGCCATGCCCTCACCTGTCATCTTCTTCGACGCACGCCCTCGTCCATCCCGATTCTTGCAACGACGCGACATTCGGATCTGGCCGCTGCCAAGGCCGCAATCCTAAAGGATGTGTTTTCTTCATCGTCGTCATCTTTCTCTTCATCGTCATCTTCGCCCTCTCCATCGTCGTCATCACAGCAGCTACACGACAAGCTATCAAAGCGCCTCTTTGTCGTCCGCTGTGACGTGACCGATGAATCCACCATTGAATCTGCCGCCAAAAAGGCAGAGACTCTGTTTCCCAGCAAGTCGCACCACTTGCATCTTGCCTGCGTCCTCCCAGGCGTATTGCTAAACCCAGAAAAGTCCCTCGCGCAGGTTGATGCCAACGCTACTCTGGAGTCGTTTCGAATCAACTCCATGGGCCAAATGCTCATGGCGAAGCACTTTTTCGGATTCTTGCCCAAGAAGGCGACGGCTATGGCGATGCCGGGCTACAACGGCTATGACTACAATGAAGACGAGGACGACGAAGAGGACGAAGAGAGGGAGGATCAGGATGACGAAGATGAAGCCGAAGAAGAGGCGTCTCTATGTCTGCCTCGGCACGCTACTTGGCTGAACATGTCTGCAAGAGTAGGATCCACCACTGATAACCGCTCTGGCGGGTGGTTTTCGTATCGCGCGAGCAAGGCCGCCGTCAACAGCTTCACCAAGAGCCTTGACATCTCTCTACGCACACGGGCAGGAGATAACGCAATGGCGGTGGCATATCACCCGGGCACGGTAAGGACTGACTTGAGCAAAGACTACTGGGGCGGCGTGCCCAAGGAGAAGCTATTCAGCGCTGAATATGCGGCCGAGAAGCTTGCGGATGTGGTTTGTGGGCTTGGAACGAGTGATAGGGGTAGATGCTGGGACTGGAAGGGGACTGAAGTTCTCCCTTGAATTTGATTTACGTGTGGTACTTGTCTGATACACATGTTTTGATGCTAGGTTTTTTTTTTTTTTTAAAGATGACAGCTTACTATAACTGCACTCAGCTCTAATGAAAACAATAAACCTTTTGGTAAACGACTCCTATGCCACGATTTTGTCCTATTCCCTCTTGTCTGCCTAGAGCCCTTTCTCCCATTGTGGAAAGCAATCAGTCGTGGCATCTCTTCTATTCTTTTGCTTCTTCTGCTTCTTTCGCTTCTTCTTCATTTTCTGCTTCTTCTCTTCCCGTCAAAAGAAACACACGCAGCACATATGATATAAATTACAAAAAAGTAAACTGTACGGAGTTGATGGGGGGCCCATCAGATAGGGGGCATAGGAACGTTTAGCATACGCCCCTACAGCTCCACCTCCTGGAATGAAGCTCCGTCTGGCGGCGAGGCCGGCTTGTTTTCGTCTTCGTCCTCGTCCTCGTCCTCGCCCTCCACAACTTCTTCCACTATGGCTGTTTGCGAACCGCCAGGTCGTAGTTGTCCCTGAACATCTTCCAGACGGACCTTTTGCTCGGCCTGATCGTTGGTCCTTGCCTTTTGCTCGGTGGATTTGGCCTTTGGCTCTGCTGCCTCGCCTTCTTCTTGCTCCTCCTGGGCCTCAGAGTCGTCTTCTGCCTCTGCGGATGCCTTGGACCCAGCCTCGGCTCCACTCTCTGGGCTCTTCTTCCCGTTGGGAGGTGTTGCTGGTGGTGCTGGTCCCGGTGGGGGAGACGTGCTCACTGGAGACTTGTTGCCAGCTGCCTCTTGTTCTGGTGGCGATGTTCGTCGTGGCAAGTCCTTGGGAGGCAGGTCCTTTGGCGGAGGAGGAGGCAGCTGGTCATCGCTGGGGGGTCCTGGCCGCATAACGTCGAGGTAGAACTTGGTCACGCCAAAGATTCTGCCATTCTGCTCGCAGGCCGTGACCCATTCGGGCCGCACCACGGGGATGTTATTCTCCACAGCCTTCTCCCAGGCCGTTCCTCGGCCTTCGGTGGTGACAAAGTGCGTCGTATCGATGCGGACGCCGTCGACAATCTTGGCCCCGATTCGCTCCACAGCCCGGGTCAGGTTCTCCCTCGTCGAGGCCGGCATGATGCCCGTTGTGATGGTGATTCCACTCAGATCCGTCATCTTGTGGGTTCGTACGACCAGCTTTTCGCTTGCCCGCGTCCCGGCAGTGGTCCGCAGCACCAGGTGGAAGCTGTACTCGGTGTCGACAGCCAAGCCACTGATCTTGGTGCTGTGCATCTCCAGCGGCCGCGGGATGTTGCCGGCCTTTTGCCCATTGCGGTACATGCTCAGGGATATCAGATCGGCGGCAGCGAGCTCGATGGGGTCCCATTCCAGGACAACGGAAGTCTGCGTCGCATTGCGGCAGCGCAGGATTGGCGCAGCTGGCTCGGAGGCGCCAAAGGCCTGCAAGATGCGGTCTTGGAGAGAGCGAAACTGCTCTTCGGCAGCGGCTTCTTTTGCGGTGTTGCGGCCAACGGTGATGTCCACGATACTACCGGAGGAGATGTTGGGAGGCAGCAAGATGGATGGGAACTCGATCTACAGTTGCGCAAAAAGAGCAACCACTTGGTTAGTTGCAGCCATACATGTTGAAGTCTAGCAGACTCGAGAGAATGGTGGGCTAGGCACGATGGTGCAATTGAAAAACAGGGACAAAACAAAAACAAAAACAGGCCAGGTTGCGTGCAAGACATACCAAGCGCTTGTCTGGGGTCAGCAGCACTGTGACTCCTGCGTCGACCTTACCGACGGTCAGGGAGACAAGCATGGCCCTAGAGAGTATTTGACAATGGAGATTGAGAGGGAAAAGGCGAGATCGCAGCTCAGCCTGAAGCGTCGCACGTGGAGGAGAGGCTGTGGCGTCTCTGGCCAGGGGATCGTTGGCCGGCTCGAGCTCGACGAGGAATCCGCGCAGATCAATTGGAGGCACAGGAAAGATCTGACAAGTCGCGGTTCGATCGAAAATACACGATTGGCCGGCAAATCGAGTCCAGGAGATCGGGGGTGAGGCAAGACAGGCACGCAAAGGGCGAAGAACTGAGGTGTTGCACACACAGAGAAAGAGGTACGAGGAGAGTCGAGGCTACGAGAATGGCAGTGGCTGTGATGACAAGGCCGAAGTGGGTAGGATAAGCTCTAGTGGGCCGCGAGCCTGTTGGAGCAGCCTGTCTGTGACATGCAGCCGCTGTGGACGGTTGATGCAGGTCATTACGGCGATCTGTGTTTGCAAAGAAGAGCAGTATTTGCTGCATTCTTTTTGGTATTCTAGTATCCTGTAAGAGCATCTGCTTCATTAGTTGTTGCTTGAGATTGGGTTGTCCACCACGCAATATTGGGGCTACCCCGTATTCCAGAACAGTTGAACTCTCTTTGATTTTCCCCTTGGCGCCAGCCCACTTGTGCCAGTTTAGTTGCTTCCTCGTAATAGCAGAGCGCTTGCGAAGCGCCATATGACGAGTATACATACAAACTGTCCTACGACCCCCCCTGTAACCTGTCCTGTAGTAATACTCGCCTTTCCTTTTTACGCTAAGGAAGATGATCTGTCCCACGGACAGGTGAATTATTAAGTCTAAAATTCACCGCTGCAGATGAGGATTTTAATTGATAGACCGCTCTCGTCGACAATCTAGCAACACCTTCACTCCCTACAGTCGTTCCGGACTAGATTGCTCCCGCGCTATTATACCTGTCCGTGGGATAGATCATCTTTTGCGCTAAGAAAAGGAAATCTGACCATTACTACAGGACAGGTTACAGGGGGGGTCGTAGGACAGTTTGTCATAGCACTCCCATATGACATTGAGCTTTATGTACGCTGCGCTCTTTTTATGCTTGAAGAGTACGTTTACAAAGCTTGATATCCACTTTCTCGACAAACGATCGAAACGATGTGAAAATCAGTCCAACTCCCGCCGGATTCTACACATAGTGGTCGGAATGATCTGGTGCGAGGCCAAGGCACTCTCGTGACGAATCCTGGCCCTTTCTAGACTTGGAGTGCATATATACGCCGAGGTTCATCTGTCTTGATGAAATTTCCTTTGTAATCCTCGGGGCGCGTTGGTCATCCCAGTATTTCAATGCCTTGATTCATGGTTTTGATTCTGCAATTTGCCATTTGCGATTCACGGCACTTCATCGCAGAGGCTGGCTGACGGTGGCTTTGCCAGGCATGCCGAGCTGAGCCTCGGGAATTCCGACTGCGTTTTGAGCCTCTCCTCGTGTGACCAATCTTCTTCTTGTAGATACGGCAGAACTTGTACATGTCCTTTATCATAGCACCAGGTCTTTGGATCATTCTTTTGTTGCCAAAGCAATAGCAACCATGATGGCCTGTAATCGTCACAGCATACCCCGTCTAGTAGCATCTCAGCTCAGTACCTATCCACTCCGTACCCGGTATGAGCCACTTTATTGTCGCTAGCAGCTCCTCCAGATCCCTCTGCAAAACTTACACAAGCACTATTCTGGTACCTACAACTGCAAGCAAAGAAAAAGGCGCCAATGAATAAAGTATTCGCCTCTTCTGCTTAAAGCTTACGGAAGCCCCCGCTGGGCGCAAGGCTACCTACAGCGGAAGGAGAACGCCTCAAAGTCTGTGCGCCCCTTGTCTTGTTGCTGCGGACCCTTGTCGCTATTGGCTCTTCTCTCCATCTTTCCCTCTTCATCTTCACATAATCCTCACCACTACAAACCACTGCCACCGCCCGTCTTTGGTCGTTCCTGGACAACGTCTGTCGCTGTGACCGGACACCCAACAACTCGAAGCAGCAAGAACTTACACGGACCGACCAAGCTCGAGCGAGAAGCGCTTCCTGCACCCGCTCCAACCATTCATTTACCGCTCGCTCGGTGCGGGTCGCTCGCCCATCATGGCTGATCTGATCGACCCGACAATGAAGGGCAACTATCCCGTGATTCTGGGCGTTGGGCTGCTGGGCAAGCCGTCCAACGAGATCTTTACTGGCATTCGCTGTAAGTCGCCATGGCCGTCTTTGCATTCTCCGGCTTCGCGCTCTTTGGCATGCGATCCGGGGAAAACAAAACAAGCCAAACCACTGACTTGCTAACACATCGACTTCTGCCGAGCAGATAACCACAAGCCTGCCTTTCCGCAATCCGACGCACGCCTGAAGCCTTCTATCCCCGGCAAGACGAGCTCGTACGACTTGAATTTCTCCAACTCGGAAGGAACAGTTGGATTTGCCGGAACGCGCTCCACCGACGACGGCGACTATGTGCTCTACTTTGATCCCGAGCGCAAGGCCTTTGTCCTCGACAAGGTTGACTCGACCTTTAACATGAATCTCACGCGCACTCCTGCAAACAGCAACCCCGACGATCTGCGCCGGCGACACCCTCACTTGGGAAGTGGCCCGTCGCAAAAGGCGGGAGACCAGAAGAGCGCTTCAAGCAAGGACAAGTTGAAGTCGTCAACAAAGGCCGATAATGACAAGAGCATCACCGTACAGACCAAGGATATGCAGAAGAAGAAGCCGTTGGAAAAGAAGCTGGGAGAAAAGAAGCATACCGACAATGTATTCCTCGAGAAGAAACCTCCTCCCGTTGAGAAGAAGTCGGCGGACAAGAAGCTCGCTTCTGAAAAGGAAAAGAGGCCATTAGAGAAAGAGAAGAGGCCAATGGAGAAGAAGCTGTTGCAGGAGAAGAAGTTGCTGGAGAAGAAATCAATAGACAACAAGTCGACCGACAAGCAGTCAGAGAGTAAGCCGTCAGCCAAGAAGACGGTCGAGAAGAGCGGCGTCGAGAGAAAGATTCACGAGATGAAGAATATGGAAAAGAGGCTTGCAGCGAGCAAGTTTGACAAGAAGCCGCTGCCCAAAAAGATTGAGCTTGCACTGCCTGTGCCAGAACCACCCAAGCCGCAAGAGTCTCGCAAGAAGAGAGACCATGAGGACGACGAAGAGGAGGATGACGACGACGACGATCTTCTCATCGAATATCCGGGCGCAGAAGCTCCCTCCCGGCCGGCTCACCATTTCTCCCCCGCGTTTCCCATTGCCCGTCGCTTCGATGACTTTATGGATCAGCGTGAGTCCGAAGTGGAGGAAGACGACGAGGCCATGGACGAGGATACCGAGGCGGCATTCAAGCTGCCCAGCCCGGTGAAGAATGGCAGCCAAGCTCAATCGGAACCCATGGATGTTGACGAAGAGGAAGAGGATGAGGCCGAAGAGGGTCAAGAGGCTGGCGAGGCTGGCGAGGCAGAAGGTGCCGCTGATTTCGAATACGATCTGGAACAAGAGCTGGAGAATGCTTTTGATCAACTGGATAACAACGACCAGGACAACGGCAACAACAGCAACAACAGCAACAGCGGCTACTACTATAACAACAACAACGATGACGATGAAAGCGAGATTAGCGAAGAAGACTAGAGAAATCTCTGATAGGCCAACTGTTTATTTTGGGCTGCGATTCTATTGTCACCTTTATACGGAAGACGAAAAAGGGGAATTCGATTGAATTTATGAGTGTGTGATATTCATGTTGCACTTCGACTGGGAGTTTGATGCCTTGATATAGGTTTTTTTAATGCGTCGGAATAATAAGCCAACTGCGCTTGATACCACCAGCGAGAGATGATTTCTTTTTTTTTTCTCTTCTTCTTTCTCTCTCTTTGTTATTCAACACTGTTCTTTTGTAGCAGCGGCTTCATTTTATGCTTTTCTTTTCTTTTTTCAGCATAACGAACATGCTACGGAGATACACAAGAGGTTCATCAGGTAGTTGCAACCTTTTACTAGGTAGTTACAATACAGAATCATGATTGATTTGTTTCAAGCAAACATACAGCTCATTCATCATCCCCTGGATACCTGTTACCCCGTAAATGATCTGTAACACCAGTTATCTGCCTGTCGCAAAACAGATGCCTCTTGGCCGACGTCAGCAGCGGCCCGTACTTTTCCAAAACGGGCCTATCGAAGCACCCAACCGTGAGGCAAATGTTGGCGCCGCTGTCCCTCTGCCAGAAGAGCAGCCCCCCGCAGTTGCTGCAGAAGCCGCGCTCAAAGTGCGGCGTGGCCGAGTAGAGCTTGAGCGTCTCCTTGGACGTGAAGTCGACGGCGGACTTGGGGAGCTGGTGGGAGTAGAAGATGAGGGCACCGGTGTTTTTGCGGCATTGCTCGCATTGGCATGTTGTTGACTGTTGGCGGTGAGCCATTATCAGTGTCATTGAGTGGTGTTTTCACGCTTTGGATTTAGAAAGCGAAGAGGGGAGTTACAACTCACGCTATCCGCAAAGTCGTGATCTGGTGGGAACGTCGCAATGTAGCGAACCGATCCGCAGAGGCAGCCGCCTGTGATTGTTTCGGGTTTCTCGTTTGAAGAAGCCATCTTCGCTGTGGAATGTCTGTTCTCTCTTTGCGTGAAGCGTGATGATGGCAATGAAGCTAGCTAGCTATCGTTTGAGAGCTAATAGGTATGATACAAAGCTGATTGGTTTTCCAATGTTTAGTAGTCTCACGAAAGCGAACTTGTCTCTTCGATACGGTAGAATCGCCAGCTATTTATACCCCTCGGAAACGTTTGTGCGGTTCTCTTCTGTCAACGGCGCCTTTCACGGCGGTCCCAAAACTGGTTCGCGCTTAGGTATTAAATCGTCATATTGATTGCTAGTGTAGATCTTCCAAGGCGGCCCCAGTTGCGAACCGGCGCTTACCGATGCCAAACTAGCTGCTGCAGGCTCCATTTCCCCATATTCCTCATGTTGTGATCGTCTCATGAAACCAAAAGTGCATATTGATAGCAACACAGTCCCTATATACAAAGCAAGATTCCAGCTATCCAAAAAATGCGCTAAACAACCTCCCATCTTGCTATCCAGCCGATATTTTCGCCGGCATTCCTCACAATACACAGTCTCCCCTCCTTTGGATTCGCCTTGACGTCTGGCAACACCTTGTCCACAGCTATGCTGCCAATGGCGGCCCCTCGGCCGTTGGCAAGGGAGAATGAGCCCGTGGTGACGAAACCGATGAGATCTTCCGCATCGGGCACGAGCGGGTGGCCTCCAATGTCGAATTGGTTGGGCGGCAGCGAGATGGTTTCCAAGTCTGGCGGCGGAGCGAGAAGCTCCTGTGCTAAAAGGCGCTTTCGCATTTCCATGTCTGCATGTTGGGAACGAGAACACGAAGACGACTGCGGCTGTGGTTTTGGCTTTGCAGAAGAAGAAGATGATGATGATGAGGAGGATGAGGGGATACGAGACAGCCACTGCAAACGAAGATCGGATGGAAGAGAATGTGATTCTGGCGGTATACTAGCGGGGACTTGGACGTCGGAAGATGGCGGTATGGAAACGGGCACAGCTGGGAGGCGGTAGATTCTCGCGCATGAGCCAACAACACCTCTTGAGAGAAGCGAGATGCGGACGCAGGCGATTGGGTTTGGAGGAAGTGGCAAAGGCGCCGCCGCGGGTGAAGAGATGAGGCTGTTGAATGTGGCTTTGGAAATGCTCGTCAGAAGCTTGAGATATGGCATCTCGTCGACGCCAGTGTCCTTCAACTCGGCAGTGGCTGTTTGATCGACATCCATTGCCTCTCCCGAATCGTCGTTGACCAACGGAGGGCTTGGGTTCCTGACACGGACCTGCTGCTGCTGTGGTTGTCCAAGACCAAATAAGAATTCAAAATCGCAAGCATGTCCGTCACCAATCTCCCCCTGCCGTCCAGCGCCCAAATTGAGGGATGCCCACTCAACCCTCTTGCTCTTGGGACGTTTCGCCCAGTCTCTCTTCCGGATTCGCCTCCGCTCAAGCTCCCAGTCTGCGCCGGCATCCGTGCCGAGGAAGTCGGCCGGGAACCACGGGAGGCTGCGCTCAAAGGCGACCTGCATCGTCTCGTTCAAGCCTGCGAACCGCGGGTTGCCGCCCGACACGAGCGGGCAGTGGACGATGCTGTACCACAGAGGGAGGATGCATTTCCAGGGAGCAAGGAGAGTCCATGTTCCTTGTGCCTGCGTGCCGACTGCGGAGCGAGACGCGACGAGAGTGATTGGAATGGCAGGGTCTATAGCTGCTGTTGGTTTCAGCGGCACTCCAGGGGTAGTCTTACTCCTTCGCCTGTTGATGGACTTTTGTGATGGCAAACAGGAGGCTTTGTGGCGGGCATCTCGGTCGAATAGGAGTGAGGGCTGCAGGTTTTCCTCGGCAGGCCAGCTGGCGATTGTCTCTAGAAGGCGCATCTGTGCCTGTTCAGTCTCTGAGAATTCCACTATCCGCGGCGGGTATCGTAACCGAGGATCTTGGATGGCAAAGTTTAGTACAGAGTTGTTTGGTAGAGCCGCTGGATTCGTCAGCCCCCTTAATGATTCGAATAGCTCGGCATGCTTGCTCTTTGGATTTGGCCCCGAGGGCAAAGGGTATGCCGACAAGACAGACAGCAGTGCCTCGGTGGATGCGGGACCAGAAAGCTCCAAGCTTCCAATCTCGAAGCGAAGGTCTTCGATATACAGGCGAGGGTTCTCCATCTTTGTCAAGCGCAGCAGCTCATTGAATAGCTCCAGAAAGGAGGAGGGGTGGACTCTAATGAAGATCCTTTTCTGAATCCTTTTCTCGTCTCCAGCTTCGGCATCTTGTTGTTGTGATTCAGGGTCCCAAACCACGGTCGATTGGCACATTGGCCGCTCAACTCCAGCTCTCTCTCTGCTCAAGGTGCCAACCCAAGCTCGTGTGCCCTGCCTCCATTTTCTACCTTTGTCGTTCCAGCATGAATCGTGCTTGACTCCGACCTTTTTGAGGACTCTGGCCATGCCGGCGTAGTTTCCGTACAAGCCAATGGTACTCATATAAGTCATGTCCCAAACCATGGTGCCTCGCTCTCCCTGTGCTCTATGGGTTGGTCGGTAAATCTTCTCGTTGGGTGTGAGGGGGATTGCGAAGCGCCAGAGAGGCTCTTTGGGCTGTGTCATGCGAGCTCTCTTTGCGTGCCATCGATGTGTGGGAAGCCATGTCTTGTCAATCTGGCGCTTCCTGAACTTTGCGGGAGGCTTGGGGGGGTCGTTGAGCGCGTTTCTTCGAATCTTTGGCCTCGGTTTCCTCCCCACCACTCCGACGTCTTTGGTGGCTTTATTGGCGCTTTGGGTATCATCGTCGTCGGTGGAAGCCTCGGTGCTCTTCTTTTCCTTCTTCTTCCTCCTCCGCGCGGCGAGGACCCGTAATCTCTTGGCCGTCTGGGCTCGTATCCTGGCCCTCGTAGTTCTTGGTTTCCGCTTCCGAGACTCGACAAGAGGCGTGTTGTCCTCGTGCATCTCCTTCCTGGCCCTCGCTCGCAGCCGTCGCGGCACTCGCTTGGGGTTGTGGCTCGCCGTCCGTCTTCTCAAGCCGCGGGGCACCTGCTGGAAGGCCCTGCTGCTCCGCACCGCCTTGGACGCGGCCATGCTCTGCTCCAGCGCCCGGATCTCGTACTCGTGAGCGGCCACAAAGGCCACCAAGTCCAGCTCGCCATCCTTGAGCGCAGCATCGGCGGGCTGGGCTGGGATGTGCCGTGCAGCGTGGACCTTGGCGCGCTTCTGGAGAAAGGCGTCGCTACGACCGCCGGGGGCTGGAGGGCCGCGCTTCTTGGAGGCTGGGCCGGATTGCCCGCCTGTCGAGTGGCTGGACGCCATTTGAATGGCGAGTTGGAGAGCCCTGGAGAGCCCTGGAGAAGTCCAATTGCGCTCCTGAATGCAGGTCTGATGCCGTTGATGATGACTCTGGCTTGGAAACTTTCTTGGGCGGAATGTTATCGATAAGCGCCTGGTGAGCTTGCTTTAGCTGTCGACCATGCAGCGACCCACTGAAGAAGTGCACTATTACAGCGGGCAGCCTCCAATCAACTGAGAGCGCAGACGGCTACCGATGCTGTGCTTCATGACATCACCAATAGGAGGGTTCCGAGAGAGCCCTCCATCCAGATGTTGGGCGACGCAAGTTGCAAGTCAATGATATTCTCCCTCATTCGGTGTTGGGATAACGCTCTATTGGCTGCTCGCTAGACCAGTGGCAAGGGATGAGCGAGCTAAGAATTGGATCAATAGTTGATGCCAGGGCGTTATGCTGTTGGAGCCGCTACAGATCAAGTACGCGTAGGCTCTGTTTAGCGACCTCGCCGCCTGTAATGGCCATTCCCACGTGCTAAAGTCGCAGCGAGTTGTGCCCTACGCCACAGGCAGCACAGCGCACTCTGCACCTCTTCTCCACCTTTCCAAAATCAAGGCGGCCTGGAGATCCATATCGCTTCGGGCATCGCCTAGATGCGCTGCCGAGTCTGCCGACGTCAATCACCCCATTCAGCCCTCTACGCTTTTGACTCTCGGTTTCTATAACCCTGGCTTCATCTTTGACCTTGATCTCTGAATCATCATCACCGTCTCGCCCTGGCAATACCGGAATTATACACCCCTTCTCAGGCGCCGACGCTACGACCATCCGCAAATACGAAATCGGTAGGGCCGGTTCATGTCTACAGAGCCCGTCTATCCCTGAAAAGGTACGCGTATCCGTGGGATGCAGCTCATCTGCCTCACAGCCCATCTCATCTCATCTCACCTCGCAATAGGGGCACGCCGAGTACGCTTCCAGACTCCCAGACTCCCAGACTCCCAGACTCCTAGACTCCCAGACTCCCAGCTTGTCCCGATGGCGATGCAACGTCTGCATTCCAACGCCAGGCCGCGCTGAAAGCTCACCATCAGCCCGATATCAAGAGAGCCATTCCGCATTCATTCGCCCCCTGGTCATTTTACCCTCCATCTGCCCCGGCATCCTGCATCCCTCGCTCCGCATTCTTCGAGTTCGTCTCGTCTCGTGTCATCTCATCTCACCAACCCCCACGCTCCAGCATCAACAAGTCGCCGCTGGCTCCAGGAATCCATCCTCGCCGGCTAGTCGTTACCGATTCGATTCGTATTGCAACTAGGTATCCGTACTCCAAGACCTATTAGCGCGCTGGCGGCTCGGGGCTTCAATTCCAGTTCCAGTTTTTTAAACTCCATCGCCTGCAGTCTCGCCTTCTGCAGCATCAAACCAAGGCATACTAGTGAAACGGCCTAGGCCTTGCCGGCATTGGTGCTTGGCTTCCATTAGCCTGCAATGTCTACCCTGAGTAAGCCAATGAATATCTCCCGTTTTGTTCGGTGGTGAACTATCACGGCCCGACTGAGCATGACGGGCTGTCACGCATGCGTGCGCCGCATGCTCTGCTTCCTTCAGCCTTTTCAGCGGACGTGGCCCCTTCTGACGGGCTCCGTCTCCCTCCTTCCCTCCCCATGTTGCTTCATCTTTCATTTTTGTTGCCGTCGTTTTGGCTTGTTATGCTCTGTCTGGTCTATTTCTCTCTCTCTGTTATTGTCTTTCTGCAGCTCGAGTGAGCTAGCTCGGTGAAAATTGTCTCTCCCTTCCCGGCATATCCGAAAGACTTGTTTTGTGATAGACCTTTTGTTGTTGTCGTTGTTGTTGTTGTTGCTTGCAGTAGAGATCTCGACTAACATGCCTTCTTTTCTCCCCTCAGTCGGCAAGGGGCGCAAGGTGAGGCCATTCGGTGTCCATCTCGGCGCTCACCCTTTACCTCGTATCAATGAAACGTACCGTACCACTAACACTGCTGCTACTAAATTTAGCCCAAATTTGAACTTCATCTCAAGGTGAGCCACTTACTTACGACCACTATACGTAGATGAGACATGTTCTTTTCATCTAACACTTGAGCTTCTCGCTCGACTACCTACTAGATTTACGATTTGAACAACGTACCTCTTGTTTCTGGGACCTCATTTATCAAATGGCATCTGCCGCATTCTATGCATGCCGACCATCGTGGCCGCACGCCCAAGGCGGCCATCGCCAATCATCGGGTGGAATACAACTTCAACAAAGTAATAACGGGCGTTCGCATGTCCGTCGACAAGAACAACAGCCTCAATGAGTGTCTGATAGAGTTTGAGATTGTCCAAGAATTCGCCCTCACAGAGAAGATTACGCTTGGCCACATCAAGCTCAATTTGGCTGAATATGTTGAGGAGAGCGAAATCTTCTTGAGAGAGGTGAATTCCGTGTCTTCGACCAGAAAACGAACGAATAGTTCGGGGAGCCCAACAAGTGCCAAGGACCTGAAACTGTCGGATGAAGTCCTAAGAGACGCTGAAGAGGGCATCGTCCGCAGATATCTCATGCAGGACAGCAAGGTCAACAGCACTCTCAAGATTAGTATCCTGCTCATCCAAGTCGACGGCGAACGCAGCTTTGTCGCGCCACCACTCAAGACGGCTCCGGTATTTGGAGGAATTGCAGGCTTCATGGTTCCAGAACAAAACGAAGATGAGATTCTAGGACGTAAGTTGACCACTCTGCTAAGTTGGCAAGCTGTCACACAATCATACAATCATACACCATGCGTCGTAAAGATGCTGAAACTGATACTGACATCCTCCTCTACAGCTCTGCCGACTCTATCTAAGAATAGAGATGTCGCCGAGATTCAAGATTTGTATCGCCGGACTCTCGCAGCTTCCTGGACCCGACAGCCCTCGGAGCTCCATACGGATGAGTGTATCGAGGACATTTTTGCCGGCGGAAACGGCTGGAGGACAAAGCACAGAAGTGCTACCAGCCCCGACTCCGAAGATGACGAATACGACGACGATGGTGACAACTCTGGCACCCTCCGGCCCAACGAATTGCGCCGCGTGGGCATCAACCACCGCCGCAACCACTCGGGCTCTTCCAACCACATCCGCCGCGGCAGCAACAACTCGTACCACCCTCCCAGCAGCCCGCGCCCTCACCACCACCGCACGCCCAGCGGCTCGAGCGATAAGAGCGTCTCGACCGTCACCGGCGGCGGCTTCGGCCGCCTCAAGAAGGGCGTGCGCATCCTCCGCGACGACGGCAGGGAGACGCCCTCGCGGGACGACGACATGCTCAGCACCAGGAGCGTCGGCAGCCTCGTCAGCGCGGCGCCGACAATGGGCAGCAGCGAGCGCGAGAGGGAGCACATGAAGCGAACAAAGGAGATTCGGGAGTCGGACGTGAGGGATGATTTGGTTGCGTGGAGTTTACCTAGCCTGGTGTCTGCGTGAGACTCAAGAAGACATGGGACTGCATCTTTTTTTCTCTCTGTTTCTTTTTTGTTCCCCCCTTTTTTTTTCTATATATATCTTGCGAGGCGAATTGTTTCTTGTCACTTATTTTTCTTGCTTTCAGTTTCCCCCAAAGTATCCTTTGGCATTGTAATTTCTTTTGAGTCATGATTGAAGTTTTTGTCTTTATGAGACTCCTTTCTTCCTTCCTTTCTACCTACTTTTCATGTGTAATTATCGCTACCAGGTACTTGACGGTGTTTTTCGCCATTACACAGGAATAGGCTGCAGTGGACATATAAACATATACATTGCAAGCCATGAATACAGACAAAACATATTTCTTGTTGAAGAATTCTCTCAAAAAACACTTGTGATATCAAACTCTTCATCTTTGGTTTATTTATTCCCATTCTGAACCTTGGGAATATGTGAGATCGGTCAAAGTTTTGTTCTATTTCCCTTCAAAGGCCTCAAAACAAGGTCCTCTCTTTTCACCTCATAAAAGATCTATATAAAAGTTCATAAAAAGATATTTTTGCCCCCCCTCTCCCGCCATCCCGTTTGTTCGTTTCGTTGTGACAACGCTTCTACTTCTACTACACGCATAGATGCTAAAATGCTTGCCCCCTTTTTTCCAATTATTTTTCTTTTCTCTCCCTCTCCTCTCTCTCTTGATTCCTTTTTCCACGCCCTTAAGGAGCCTGAATGTTACCCCTGACACCACCCTTGCCACCGACTTCTCTGGCAGTAACAGTCACGCTGAGATCGGCAGCGACGTTGATGGTGACCTCAACCTTTCCGTCCTTGCCAACACCCTTGATGGCAGCCTCGGCAAGAGCCTCGCCAATCTTCCAAATCTTCTCACGCTTCTCCTCCTCTTCGTCATCGTCGTCAAAGTCGGAGTCGTCCTCATCCTCCTTCTCCTCCTTGGCCTTGGGCTCGGGCTTGGTGACCTTGATGTGGGTGCCACCCTCGACAACCTTGATCAGGACATCGCCAGTGGCGGCGATGTGGACGGTGCGGCGGGCGGGAACGGCGGTCTCGGCCTGCATGACGGGGGTGAAGACGTCCTCGCCGTCGGCGCTCTTGGTGACGACACCAATGGCGTTGGAGATGTGCTTGACGGTGGTGACGGCAGGGTGGGTGGACTGCTCAATGTCGGCGGCCTCGTACTCCTGGATCAGGGAGGCCTGGAGGGCGGCACCGCGGGCCTGCAGGTCAGAGGGGTTGATGGCGGTGGCGCTGGTGGCAGGGGCCAGGATCTTGGTCGACTCGGGGAAGATGGACTGGAAGTTTGAGGCGATGCGGGGGGTGTGGGAGGTGCCGCCGCACATGATGACCTCGTCGACGTCGAGGACGTCGAGCTCGGCCTTTTTGATGACGCTCTCGACCAGGCGGTTGAAGCCCTCGAAGATCTTGCGGGCAACCATCTCGTATCGGGTGCGGTTGAGGGTGGCGGAGAAGTCGAAGCCGTCAGCCAAGCTCTCGACGCTGAACTGGGCGTTGGAGCCCAGGCTGAGAGCCTTCTTGGTGGCCTCGGCCTCTTGTCGGAGCTTGGCCAGGCTCTTTGCGTTTGATCGCGGGTCGACGTTGTGCTTCTTGATGAATTCCTTGGCGAAGTAGTCCATCAGGGCCTCGTCCAGGTGGACACCGGAGAACTCGTAGTCGTGGGCGGTGGCGAGGATGGTGTAGATGCCGCCTCTTGAGGCAACAACGGCCACGTCGGAGCGGGTGCCACCGAGGTCGGCAACGACAACAATCTTGTCCTCGACCTTTGCCTCGGGACGGGCATCGTAAGCCAGAACCGCGGCAACGGGGTCGGAGATGAGCTGCAGGACCTCGAGGTCGGCGTCGTTGGCGGCCTTGATCAGAGCCTCGCGCTGCTTCTCGGAGAAGTTTGTGGGGACGGTGATGACGGCGGAAGTGACCTTTTTGCCCAGGTAGTCGGAGGCAGAGCCGACGAGACGGCGCAGGTATCGGGTGGCAGCCTCGGACACGGAGATGGTCGAGGCCTCAGCCTCCTCGCCGGCCTTGTCCTTGACGGTGAAGGAGACGGCGCCAGAGACGTCTTGAGGGTGGGCAGCGGCGTGGCAGTGTGTGGGGTCGATTGACTTGAATCTAGCAGGCAGCATTTCGTTAGCACAGAGATTTTTCTAATCCATTTCTTGCTCCTTTATTCTCATCTCCTTCTTCTCGCCTTCCCCTCCATCTCTGGACTCGGCTTTCACAAGCGTGATGTATGGACATACTCTTGGCCTAGAAAGTCCTTGAAGTAGGCAACGGTGTTGGTCGGGTTGCGGACCAGGAAGGCCTTGGCCTGGGTGCCGTAGTACTCATCGCCGTCGACGTAGGAGAGAGTGGTGGGAATCTGTCGGTCTGTAGTAAAAAAAAAAAAAAGAATTGTCAGTCATTGAGCAAGAAAAATACGGCCAGATAATGGTCACGGCACATGAGAGCCAACAGCCCCATGGACATGTTCCATCTTTCCAGGGGAAGGAAACACCAAAAACATACCACCATCCTCGTTGGCAATGACCTCGGCCTTGTCGTCGACAGTAAAGGCAATGGAGCTGTTGGAGTTGCCAAAGGTGATGCCAATGGCGACTCGGTCACCGGGCTCGACGCCGGCCTTGACGCCGTTGCTCTCAGACATTTGGGAGAAAAGGTTTCCGTGAGAAGGTACAAGGGGAAAAGAATATATATAAAAGAAAGAAAAAAAGACAACAAGCTGTTGGATTGCTGATGTGTCCTTCAATTCTAGAAAGAAGACGTTGAAGAGAGAAAGAGAGTAGCGGATTGGATTGGACTGGTCGTTGGTCTTAGTGGAGGGGCTAGTATTTTTTTTTTTTCTCTCTCTCTCTAAAAAAGAACGAATACACCCATGGTGTGGTAATAGCGCCAATCAGCAAAAAAAAAATGCCCCTCCAGCATCTTTTATCTCTTATCCTACCAATCATATGCGCTCACATGCAAAAAAGCTCCAGAAGCAAAAATCGGCAATTCATCGAGACGCGCGCGCAAGGCAGTCATATCATCATTGCTCACTTCGATTGATTGATTGTCGGCACATCTTTTTTTGCCCATCATGTCTTCAGAAGCCGTCTTTGTCCTGCCCGGCGACCACATCGATCCCTCCCTCATCCCCTCACATCCAAAGAAACCCGTCCGTCTGGGCCCCGGACTGCGCCATGTGCCGCCGAGCGAGCTTCTCCCAACGCTGGCGGGCCAGCTGGTGACGGACAGACTGAAGAATGCGATCCGGGTCGAGACGGCCAGTGGCAGAGTAAGTTGTAGCTTCATTCGCTTCGCTTCTCATTCAATCAGCCAACTAATGGCTCTTGCCAACGAATAGTACATCCCCCGAGTCGGCGAGCTCGTCATCGGCACAGTCAACAAATCCGCGTCCGAAGTCTACTTTGTCAGCCTCTCCGACTACACCGCTCCCGCCCTCCTCCCCCAGCTCTCCTTCGAATCGGCCACCAAAAAGACGCGCCCCATCCTGGCCCCGGGAGCGTTGGTATATGCCCGCGTCACGCTGGCCAACAAGCACATGGACGCCGAGCTCGAGTGCGTCTCGGCCTCGACAGGCAAAGCGGATGGCCTCGGGCCGTTGGCAGGGGGCATGCTGTTTGCTATATCGCTGGGCATGGCTCGCCTTCTGATGATGCCCAAGAAGGCGCAGCAGGGCAAGGTCGTGGTTCTGGATGAGCTCGCCGACGCCGGTCTCCAGTTTGAGACGGCCACTGGCAGAAACGGCCGCCTTTGGGTGGACAGCGACAATACCAAGACCATAATCGTGGTCGGCAGAGCCATACAAGAGACGGATGAAAAATCCCTGGCCGCAGACGAGCAGAGGAAGTTGGTAAAGAAGCTAATCAAGGAGCTGAGTTGAGCAAGGGGATACAAAGAACACAAAAAAAGGAGAAGAAAAAAGGAAAAAAAAAATATTACAGCATATCAGCGGCTGTTTGTCTTGTTTTATTTCCAAGGGGTTATCCGCTCATGTTATATACCCATTGCGTACTGTTTGTCCCTTGCCTAAACAACATACATATATGATTGAAGCAAGGAGAGAGAGAAAAAAACACCTCTTGCTTTGACCCGTCACCAAGATATTTGGTTTGGCACTCTTCCCCCCGCTATGATAAGCAAGGGGGAGAAGAGTAGGGTTATTTGTATAATACAAAAAAATAATAAAAGTTGATTAAAAAGAAAACGCCTTGCGAATTTCGCAAAAATATCCAAGCGCTTGCTGAAGCTCACACAAATGTCCCTTTCCCCTGTGCTCGGTGAGGAAATATCCAATGTCGCTAGAAATGAATAGAAGAAGAAGAAGAACAAGTCACCAACCAAAAGGCATGGAAGAAGGGATGCCGAGGTTACTGACAATCGAATAGTGTGAAAAGTGATAGGAAGGGTTGATAGTAAGGGTATCATTTTTTCCTATGAGAAGACGCTCTCCTCATGATTTGTGTATTCTCCCCCGTCCCCTGCGTTTTCAAGGACGGGGGGAAGGCTTGGGTCATGATCCGTCTACATCCATGTCGACTTCAATAGGTTCTGGAAGTGACTGCTGCTCAATATTGTGAATCTTGATCATGTGTCTCTTCCAGTTGTCTTTTCTGGGGAATGCTTTGCCACCTGCTCTGGAATAATCACAGCCGGTGACGGAGCAGTGGAATTTCTTCTTCTTCTCGTGCCTGTCATTAATATGTCTTTGCAGATGGGTCTTTGTGCCGAAGCCCTTGCCACAGCCTGGGTATGGGCACTTGTGGTCTTTGCTATGGTATCGCTGGTGGTGTCTAAAGCAAGACAGTTAGTATCTAATATTGAGCAACAAATTTTTGTAAGGCAGTAAAGAAAGATGTGGTGAATGAAAAGTACAAGCATCTCAAGTCTGAAACATACTTTAGTTTGTGTGGCTGGTCAAAGGTCTGGTTACAGCCGGGCTCTTCACATCGGTAGACGCCGGTCCTGGGAGAGTGACTGCCGGCTCCCGATTGTGGTGAAGCACTATGTCGGAAATCAGAGCTTCCCACGGATTGCGGAGAGGGAGTGTCCAGCTGAGTCGAGGGCGTGTTCTGGGATGAGACATCGGTAAAGGCAGGGCCGGGGAGTGGGGTGGACTGGTCCGAGGGGTAGCTTGGATGCCGGCCGTCTGGGGCCGTCAAGGTGTGGTCGTGGGTCAGAGGAAGAGCAGCTCCCGCATCTAGCATGACGACATCGCCAGTGTCGATCTGCTGTTGGTCATGACTGCTGTTGTTGCTGTTGTTGATGTTGGAGTCGGGAATAAACTCGGTACGGTTTGTCGAGCCAGGGGTTTGGACTGTAAACGTTGGCTGTGCCTGGGTTTCAGGGGGTGTCGGAGAAGGAGAGGGCATGGCCGTGTCAATGGCGGGGTCATCACTTGGCGACGGCTTGTGAAAGGCCTCGTAGAGTTGGTGCTCAGTCTTGTGCCAGACCTCGGCTTCCGTAGAGGCGGGCATGATGTCCATGGGATTCACAGTTCCGGGGGCGGCGACGGGAGGCGAGGGAGATTTTTGGAACCGCTGGTATGATGACAAGTGAGGCGACTCTGGGGGTGTCCGTTTGGAAGCCGGCTCAGCTGCATTGCTCACAGGAGGGCTGACAGGCCCCAGCCTCGACTCAGCTTCGGCTTCAGCTTCGGCTTCGGCTCCGGTGCCGCGCTGGCGAGAAGACGATGAGCGAGAGAGGGGCAGAGATACAGCAGAGAAGCTGACGGGAGATTCAACCCGGTCACCGGCGGTGATGTTGGTCTGCAGCGGAATGGCTCCGTCAGCCAAACTCCGGGTGATTGTTGCTTGAGAAAAGGTAGAATCCAGCGTTGCGTCCCTGCCGCTCTTGCGGCGGAACATTTGCTTCATGTTGTGGCGAAAGGAGCTGGTTCGAGAAGAGGACGGCTGGATGGGGGAGTCGAGAGGAGGCTCAGGCTGTGCAACCATGCCAAAGGCCTCGGATGGGATGTCGGGGCTGTAGTAGTCGGCGCTGGTGCCCTTGAGCACACCGGGCTGGTGATCTGCTGATACCCGCGGTGCAAACTCGCCATCATCCAGGCCCAGCGGCAGAAAGGGCTCGGCCTTGACTCTGTACTCTGCACCGAGGCCATTGCCGGTGAAGCCAGGATCGCCGGGCTGCAGGTACGCCGCATTGAGAGGGAGAGAATATCCATTGTGGTCAGCAGCGGCGGCTCGCCAGTCGTGGTCGGTGCTCCCTCCGCGCGTCAATTCCCCCTTGTGCTTGTACGAATCGCTAGACGAGAGGCGCTTGGGCGGGCTGCTTGCGCCATTGGAAGCGTTGCTGCCGTGGCCAGCAGCAGCGGTGCCAGCAACGGCCGCCTCGGCATCCAAGGCGGCGTGCGACGTGCCTCTGCCTCTGTGGCGGCGCCTGAGGTAGAGGAGACACGGGTACAGGCAGATGGCCAGCAGTGCAACGGCCACGATGACGCCGACGGTGATGCCCGCAATTGCGCCGCCGCCGAGGTGTCGCTTGTGCATGCTTAGCCGGGCGTGGACGCTGCCAGACTGCTGGTGATGAAGATGCCCATGTCCATTTCCATTTCCATGCCCGCGTCCACTGCTGTTGTCGTTGCCATTCGCGTTGCCATTGCCGTTGCCATTGCCATTTCCATCTCCAATCGCCGCATGCCCAGTCGCATCCGCACTCATCGCAATCGCCATGCGGCGCAGCGTCTCCAAGCTCCTCGCCACGCCATGGCTCGCTGTAGCGCCCGCAGCCCGTAAATGGCCGCCGATGGAAGTCGTGTCGGTTGATGCAGCTTTGGTGGTGAGGGAGCTGGACAGGGCCATTGCTTCCTCGCTGCCCGAGAGTCGCATCTATCGATCGCCTCTCTGGATCTCGAATTAGAGTGGGAGGCCGCCCACGGCCCGGAAAATAGCGACGGGTGTCTCTCCTGCGTGCAGGGGTTCGAGTGTATCAGCGATTCCAGTCTCCAAAGGCCCTCTTGCTCTATTTCATGGTGATGGAGGAAGAAAACACGAGGTTGTCGGGGTCAGATTTATTAGCACAGGCAGATGGACGGGCAGAGAGGATCAGGTAAGAATGCGAGTCGGCAGCGCGCTGAGGCTTTGTAGTCTGTAGTGGTCAGCAGGGCCCTTCCTCTCGCCTTTTCTCGCCAAAACAGCTTGCCACGGGCAGGTGGACACAGGGCTGAGCAGTTCTGGAAAAGGTGCGGAAGCACTGGGGGGGATGGCACACGCACACGCAATCAGGGCCATTCGCACCCGCTGGTAGCTGCAAGCAGCAATCGTCGACGGCCCCAAGTGCGCGTACGGGGAACACGAAGCACTGCCCGCCCTAGTGTATCCGGCACTGTAGCTCCCGCAGCGTGCCACTAAATCCCCTGAAAACCTTGAATCCCAATGCGAGCAATTTGAGACTGGAGATGTTCGCTCACAGAGAAATAAACAATTCATCGATGAAAAAGAGAAACAAGGTCAATTGGCTCAGCCACAGCGTATTCTGTCCCAGAGACCATTTTCCATTTGCGTGCAATACCTGCATCCTCGCATGCTGTCAAAGTCGAGACTGGCCTAGCCGTAAGAACTTGCAATCCTTAGCTCGGGCGCTACTCCCGCGCTGCCGATGCCTGGATTTTGGAGTTGGTGCGTACGAATGTCGCTGCCGACGAGGGCGCTTATTGCAACAAGCCTGACCTCGAGCCAACAGAGAGAAAACTCGGGGCAGAAGCTGCAGCGCTTCCAACAGGCCATGCACCCAAGCAGGGCGGACAAGCCGGTGCTGGCACGAGTGTAAAGTGCGCTGTCCAGCTCAGTTTCGGTCTTTTGTCGTCTCATCCAAGCCCGCTCGCCAGTGCCGGCTCGCAAATGATTCGATGGCCGTCCACCATCACCAAATCCTTCCGCGGCCCGACGCATGGATCAAACGCCCTAGGCCGAGCTCATGGTGCCAACAGCTTCAACCCAGCGGGACAGAAATCTCATACGTAATGAAGCATCTCGTGCCGTGGCGTCTCCCGTAAACCTACCTGCATTCACATGAAATTGATCCTACAAGTAGTATACTGGGTACTGTTGTGTGAATAATATCTGCATAGCAGCAGACGTTGGTTGCACTACTGCAGCCAAATAAGCCTTGCCATTCTGCCAAGCCGGAACATGCAACCCGCCAGCAGATTGGACCCCATATTTTGTTGGTTTTTACCTCGAAATCTACAGACCTCGGATCTATTCCGTACAATAGACGCAGATTCAAAAACGGCAGCTTTCAGCATATCGGTACACAAAGCGAAAGCAATCGTGAGAGCGTTTGGACGCCTGCTCGTCCCGCGGCGAATGCTTGTAAACTGCCAGTCCACCATCTTTCCAACGCAGCATGCGCATCAAACATAATCCCAAAAGTGCCAGCAGTGCCAGAAGCATTTGACACATGCTAGAGCTTCTTCTCACACGTGGCTGGGCTCCACCGCAAGAGCTTGGTTCACGGAGCGGAGTCCGAGTCGCCGTTTCTTGTCTTTGTGCAGCAATGATGGATGCAGTGGAGTGCATGTACAAGTAAGTTGAAGAAGAATTATGGGGGCCTTTTGGCATTTTGCTGTAAACAATTCAACTTTGAGAATATTATCGACAGACAGCTACTCGGACATGTGAACCAGCAGCAATAAAAAATACCTCACATCCAAATGGGCACAAGAAACATCAAGATAAACATACAAGATGGTGCCCGTACGTACTGAGCGCTATCGAGAGTTTCTCTTGTATTTATTCCCGTAGAGTAGCACCCATCGACGGGCACAGCCAATCCGCTCAAACAGTGGAGAGTGTCAAAACCGTCAACGCAGCGGACCATGCCCGTTGGAATCAAAAAAAGAGCCCGGCTGGCTCGAATATTGTGTCTCAATCCGGGGCACGGGCCAGTGATCAGCCCGCAAGCCCAGAGTCCAGGCCCCCATTAATCCCATCAATCCCCCCCTTGGCCATTCACAAAGGAGGTCGCGGCACTCTTTTCGTATATCATGATTGCACTTTGCTCAACTCCCCCGTAATTCAGGAGAATATTCGCTTTCATTATGCCCACTCCGTACTAGCAGTTCGCTTATCTGCTCCACCGGGGAGACAATACAGAATGGGAAAAAAACAACCCTCCGAAGCGGGCAAGAAGAAAAGAAGCGCCGCGGCGCGAAACACGCGAAAAAAGAGGCTGTGAAGCAAGATTGCGAGAGGCCTCTTTGCTTCTTCTCCCACTGCTAATCACACTGCATGCAGCCAGCCATTGCTATCAAGGGCGTGTATACAAACAATTCTCTCCTATTAGGTCTACACCTTAAATTAACTCGTATGATACAGCTTAACAGCTTGTTGATGCCTCTAGTTTTCCATCGCTAAACCCAATTGGCTTGATCACAGTCCTCCAATCCCATTTATACAATTGAAATTCCTTTTTTCCCTTACCCTTTCGTAGATAAAGTACATCATATTCCTGGTTCTCTAGAATTCCATAGAATCATTCATCGCCCGTAATCATAGCTTCCCATGCAATCGACTGTCATAATCTCGCTCTCCGTACATCATCATCTTAAACCATCCCTTTGTTCATATACCTACACGCGTACATACACGTATACTCTCTGGTGGTAGCACCTGGTAGAACGCCACAGTACTTTTCATACATCATCCTCGCAGGTGAAGTAGGCGTCTGTGCATATGTGCATCGCCCCAAATTTGCGTAGTGAATTGTGTCCGCCGGCATCCCTTGGCCTGCCGATAATTCATCCGGACATGCATGACAATGACCTCTGCTTGCCTGGCTTGCGTAATAGCAACGTTGAGTCTTTGTGGATCATCCATGAATCCCACCGACGATGTTCGTACCATGTCAAGAAAAACAACATCGGCTTGGTTTCCTTGTGCTTTGTCGACAGTCAACACTTGAATTCGGCTTTGCCACTCGGGGGGCCACTGCTTGACTTCTCCAAGGTATTGGCGGTAGGCAGTGCTATACGGTGTCTGGATCATGATGGTTCCGGGCTCTCCTGAGAGACTCCGGAACTCGTCATCCTTCAGCAGGCACTTTACTTGCTCCGCCACCCAAGCATGCTGCATGGGATTCCAGAAGCTGTTACGGTGAAACTCCTCAGCACTTTGTGCAAAGCTCACTACCAACCGGTTCTCCTCCATGTTGCGGCTTCCCGAGAGCTTCTCCAAATGTTTCTTCAGATGCATGGTGCTCGGCGGATACCTGTTCTCCTTGACGTGCCCCGAGCTCATCTCGCCGTCATAAAACATGTCCGATGGGAGGCGATGCAGATTGCCATATGCCCGATTATTGACTAGTAGCTTCTGGTCGAGGGCACTTGCAGCCTCCGCTCGTGCCATCGTACTCAGCCGTAGCTGTTCGGCATAGGGGTTGAACTTCAGTCCCTTCTCCAGCGCCTTTCTCTCGCTGATGCCGCTGCTGTCGACAAAAGGACGCGTCTGCTTCACGTCGCCAGTGAAGATCCATGCCACGGGGTTGAAATACGCCAAAGGAATGAGAGTCGTTAATTCTCGCGCATGTGGTGCCTCGTCCACAAAGACAATCTCGGGGCGAAAAAGCTTGGCAAAACTACCAGACGCCGCTACAGGAGTTGTGGCAACAAAATCGGCTGCACGTAAGACGTCGCGATACAGTTTGGTAACGGAGCCACGCAGCTGCCTCCAATCTTCGCTATCCAGCACGTCGCCTCCGTCAATGCGGCCGAGAAATTTAGCCAAGCCTGGGTAGTTATCATGCTTGTGTTTCTCATAATAGTCCCAAGCGGCCTCGTCGAGGTTAGGGGCACGCCTGGGATCTCTTTCCAGATTCGCGTGATGAGTTAAGCCGACTGTGGTCAAGAAGCTTTTGGTAAAGTCGGTTGTAGCGTCAACATCGACAGGCTTGCTGGTCTTACCCTGGCTGCCAGTTTGGTTCAATCTTTCAGAATGGCGCATCTCATATGGCCAACCGTGCATCCGTATAATTCGAACATCAAGGCCTGCCTTTTGACAGAGACAGTGATATCTGTCAGCAGCGTCCGAGACTGTCTGGTTGATATCAACAAGAAACAGAATCTGATGGCGGATTCGCTTTTGGGCAGATGAATGATGTGACTGGATAAGCCCTGAAATGACCATGTTCCACTCCGTCTTGCCAGCTCCAGGGCATCCGTTCACAAAGTAGATACCATTCTTGATGTGACCAAGCCCCTCGTAGGCCGCCACGTGATCCTGGTTGAATTTGGCAAACTTCTCCAAGAAGATTGGTGAGATTTTGTAGGCAGGATTGCTCGGGTTGGCAAGAGGGGGATACTTCCTGAGAAGATTCGAAATCTCGAAATCTGCGGCGCAGAACTTCTGGAGCATACCGAATGCAAGCCTCGCTTTGTAACTAGGTCCGTTTTGATCTTTATATCGTTTCGGAGTGATGAAAGCATAGAGGGCTTCGAGTTCGGCCTCAAATGTCTGACTGGCGACCTCCCAACGTATGGAGATGTTCTTCTGGTTGGCCTGATCTAGCGTGATGCCAGAAAAGTCTCCTACAGCATCTGCAATTTTGAGATGCGACATCAAGTCGAGCTGGACTTGTTCACCGTCTTCAGTAGATTGGCAGCGTGGGACGTCTACTTTGAAAGCAGCAAGCCTCTGTATAGCCTTTCCCTCGCACTCAGCGACATCCTCGTAAGGGTTGGGGATACGAGTCGCTGGAAGATGGTATAGCGTGTAGGTCCCCTGTGGCAGCACAATGCTGGCGTCAATGTCGATGTGAACCCGATCTGCCACGGTCGGGAATGTCACGGTCGTCGACAGAGAAGGACTCTTGACTAACAACAACCAGGATGTAGAAAAGGACGTCTGGCATCCGGGGATGGGTGCGACTATCCACGCTGGGTAGCTATCACCACGATCGTTGAGCTTCTTTAATTGGGACATTTCGTTGTGCATCTCAATCAGAGTGCCTTTCTCCAGCCGACGGGCGTATTCGTCTTGGGACGGGAATTTGACAAGAGGTGTTTCCATCTGTTGCCCGCACTAGAACTTGTCATTAGTATCATCCGCTGAAAAGGTAAGTGTCAACCGTGTTTAGGAAACGCTGACTCACCTTCACAGAGCCAACGATGGCTTCTTCCAGAGGTTTAACGACCATATTGAAGAGAAGTCACGACGACCAATGGCAAACGACTAATCCCAACCGAATGGACAAGAAGGAAGCAAGCAAACGAGTGGGCCGTGCTGAGGAAATGCCACAAGGCCCGAGACAGAAATCGGCCGCAAGTAGTTCAGGTTTTCGGACACGGTGAGCGGGTAATTCTTCGTGAAATGCTAGGTCTAATTCATGTGTCAGAAAATTCGCAAAGGTTCTGCCTCCAGGACCACAAGGGGATTCTGAGGAAAGATGTTGAGCGTACCTGAAACAAAAGAGATACACAGAAAACGAGGCGTGAGGTCGAACAATATGTGCTGATAGAGTTGATAAATTAACAGACGGCCGAAGTCGAAACAAAACAAAGGGCCTGAGAATTGTTGGTCAGTTCAAGGCTCCCGGAAAGTGGAAAGATGAAGGCCTTGCAGAAGGATGAAGGAAGAAGGAAGAGAGGGAAGAGAAAAGAAGGAGGTTTGGCGAAATAAAGAGGGTTGATATAGCTGCTCACCGTGCTTTCTGCAAGCGGTCGTTTCGTTTGCGAACGCCCAGAGACCAGGTGGGTACCTAGGCAGTAAACTGGCATTGAGAATGAGCGAATGGAAAGGCGGGAAACCGGTGCGTGATTCAGAGTTGAAGCTTTGGGCGGAGAGTTGAAGCTTTGGGCGGTCAGTTGGTTTGCAGCCCCAGGCACCTGTTCGGAATTCTGCCACCCCTAGGTTTGGCATATGCAGCAGCCGGTGCCTAGCTACAGTAGATAGCAGTAAGAATTTTTGTTGAACCAAGTTTGAGGTAAATTGGATATGCATTATATTCGACGGGGCTGTTTCACGCAAAGACATCACAGTGCACTTGGCTTCGATGATAATCATCTCGTGTATATTTTCCAGGAGAAAGCTTCCTCTCTACAGCAAGTATTTAACAATATACAATATTCCCCCATCCAACAATTCCTGTGGACTCTACCATGACTAGCAACGCTTCTCCCGTATTCTTCCTTGGCGTTGCCATCATCATCTATGTGAAAGATATATCAAGTAGACCCCATGCTTCATCCCAATCTCCAGGCCAAGTTGTCGCATAGAATGAATGGTATACTATCCAGGCAGTGATGAAATGATCAAAACATCCAGCAAGTGAATAAGCTCAGCATTAATCCAGGTCAAGAAGAAATAGGTATAGGGCCGTAAGTAGGGCCGAGAGAGCATATCTGGCTCATGTAAGATCGATGATGCAATGGTCTCTTCGGTGAACATATCGAGGGCGACTTTGCGGGCTGTCAATCTCCATGATATCGTCGTCCATCTCGGGAGACGAATATGCTCCTGATGATGTTTGCCAGCGGAAAGAGTCGTCGGAGTCGTCAGAGTCGGAGTCATCAACAATCATGACGCTGTCAGCCATCGGTTGGTACCGCGTTATTCCGTCCTGCTTCAAAAGCCACTCCTCTAGATGCTTATACAGCATCTGAACCGTGTTGGGAGGAAACGCATTGCCAATTTGCCTCCTGATGCATGTCTTCGTCCCCAAGAATCTATGGTATTTCGGAAATCCCTGGATACATGCATACTCGCGGACTGTAAAGTCTCTCGTTCCGTCGGGGTAGTATACCTCATTACCCCCAGTTGTGATTGTACCTGCCAACCCGTCTGCGTTAAGCGGTGGTCGGCGCGGTTGGAAATACTTGACATTGTTGAGGTCATGTAAATTGTCGCCGACACGGATAGGACTGATTGCTTTCCGAATGGTGGTATATGGCTTCAGACCGCCAACTCCATTTTCAGAGTGCGTAGGTTGAGGAAAGGGAGGCAGCTTCTCTCCTGGAGAAGCTGCAAGCATAATTAAACGCTTCCTATCTTGAGCCAAGCCCCAAGTGCAAAGGCGAACCACTTTCCATCTCACGGAATATCCCTGCTGCGTAAAGTCTCCAATCAAGGCTCTCAGATACTGGCGGTGGCGTTCATGAGTGATTCCAAACGTCTGCTCGAGAGTAAAGAGTCGAGGCCGCAGCTTGTCGACCAGGGCAAGGCATCCATACATTGCAAATATATTTGTGTCGTCGTGCGCAGACTGGTGCGTGTGAGCCGGTGAAAAGTATTGGCAAGGCGGAGACAGGTGCAGTACATCAGCTCGCATCGGCCTATCTTTCGTGGCCAGGATAAAATCGTCAACGGACATCCGAAACAGCTCCGTATCGCGAAAATTCGTCTGATAAGTCTCCTAGACATCAGCCCATTTATCCACGGCATATTGGACCTTGAATCCAGCGCTCTGAGCGCCGCGAGATACTCCTCCTGCCCCAGAGAAGGAATCAAAAAGTGTATACCTCTGTCCTATCCCTCTGCTTTGTGTGGCGGAGTTTGAGTCGGTAGGCAAAGGCCGGCTTTCCAAGTCAATAATGTTCGTCCCGCTCTGTGGCCACGATCCTCCCTTTATACGTCCGCCGCGCCATCGGTTGCAAAGAGTCTCGTTCGATACGCGATACTTGGGCATTGGTACTTCGTCTAGCTGGACGCGCTCAAGAACTTCTTCTTCTGGTCTAGTAGCTCGACTGTGGCTATGCATGGTGAAGTATATCGTAAACTTCCATCGGCATACAAGGCCACCATTTTGCTCAGCTCGCCGCTGTCGCAGATTTTCGCTAAGAGCAGGGCTTCCTGTGCAGCAGTGCTCTGGGTATATCGAGTTGGTGAAGATGATGTCTCTTTTTTTGACAATCGAGGTAGGGGGGACGCTGACAGAAATTGCTGGTAGCTCCTTTCCATCGGTTTGCCTCTGAACATGAAGTATCATGCATATCTCGTTGACCTTTTTTTGGACTTGTCCCTGTAGCTTCCTGGTCCGAACAAAGGGGACACCACGAATGTTGTAGTCGCCGTTTCGACCGCGAGCAATGATTTGGATCTTGACAAAATCGATCTCGTAGGTTCCAAGCTGGACATCATGAACCTCTATGAAATCTCCACGAGTCAATGCAGTGCCCGACAAAGGCTCGCGATATCGCTCTATGGGCAATTCGCCTTCGCGAAGCAGACTATTGGCGCCAATCTCCAGATCGTGTCCAGTGAGATCAATGACTTCTCCGTCGAATAATTCCATCAATTCCTCTGCTCCTGATTCCTCTTCTTCTTCTTCTCCTTCTTCGCATTCTCGCCCAAGCGTAGCCGAAGATGACGCTCGTGACCAGTCTCGCGAAGCGGCAGTACGCGATGTGAGGAATTGCACTTCGGCATCTTTTAGATGGTCGGCTATCGTAATCCAAGAAGGCATGTTGGAGGAGAGAAGAGAATTGCAATTAGTTCAAGGAAAAAACAAACAAAAAATAATAACCTGAAAGGGGGCGAGTCGAAGCAAAGAGAGGCTGTTATTAGTCCAAGGTATAGGTACAGCGACGAGGGCAAGAGGCAAGCTCATGGCTAGAAAAGAGAGAAACCAGGAGATACTAGGATATATCTTCTCATCTTTATTATCAAAAAAAAAAAAATGAATCATCCGAAATAGTGAGCTCAGGCTGAGGAGAGCCTGGAGTGATGTGACAAGGCAGTGAGCTTCCATCAAGAATTAGCCGTGCAGAGAGCAAAGGGCAGCAAACAATTGGCCAGTTTAGGGGCTTTGGGTTGCACAGCAGCCGGCACGCTGCAGGCAGCCGCCAGTGATGTCGACCCTTTGAAAGATAACGATTACGCACCCGTACAGTACTTGCACACAAGTAACGTACACCATTGTATAAGAAAAAGCCCACAGGCATATACTTTCATCTATATATAATCATTTCGTATTATCATGCAACCACTGATGAGAGCAGCGGGTAACTAATCAAGTGCATGTTTACAGGGTAGCCGCTGGAGTGCAGGCGGAAGCATACAGGAGCAAACAAGAAGCAAACAAGACACTGACTCGTTGGGAATCGGGACAACTGCTTGGCATATCCCTACTTGGTATTCCCAGCTGAGAGAAGCTCTCTATGTACATGTTTATGCGTCCCCAAGGCACGGTAAAGATGGGTATCGCCCAGATAGACGTCAAGCTTACGCATTTGCATCTGAGTCTGCTAGAAGCACATCTCGGTGGCGCCTATTATTGCTAACTAATCTAATGCACGGGCACCGATTAACTTTGGCCTGCGCCTAGATCCACGCGTTAGAGGCGTGCTCTGTCCCTTGCATGCGACTCCAGGTGCTTTTCAGATAACGATAACGCACCTACATAATGTACAGATCGTGCCTCTGTTCCTCTCCGTACCAGACCCTGCATACTGCTTTTGCGTAATCAAATAAATAGAAAGACTATTGAGCGTGCTCAATTCTGAGGATCCAAGTATTTGAGGCGGGCGTGTATAAGCTTGCTCCTAGACGCTTTGAAGTACAGGCATCGCTCTGGGCGTGTGCATATACAGCCGCGCTTGTACCCTTTCCCCACAATAATCTTTGTCCCCAGTTCGCGATCTCTCTCTTGCCTTTGCGCTTCACATAACACTCTTGTCCGGATACACTTTTCTTTGCTCCCGACTGCATCTTCCCGCTCTTCATTTCAATCTTGTTGTTCTTCCTCTTCTCTCTGTGTACATCATCGCACTTCCATATACAGCAGGCCCTTGCCAACCTCTCGTGCTTTTACGCCTGGCAGAAAAAATCTGTGCTTATTTTGGCAGCATTTCGCTTCTTCCCGTTTGATGACGACTCCAGCGATGGTCCTCCGCCCGGCCAGCTAGCTCTGATACACCATGGCAGACATCAACGAGGTGCTGGGGAAATGGTACGAAGAATTCCAGCAAATCCCTGCAGAGGTTCATCTCCTCTGCCCGCGCATCAGCGATGGAGACGACGAAAATTACAAGAGCCTTGATGATCCCGACTCTCGGATTCCAATCGAAGAGAAGAAGTCCCGGATCCAAAAGGGCAAGGAGCGCATTGAGATTACCTATTGGAACAGTCTGATCTTTGGCTTTGACAAGGAGGAGGCCGGCAAATGGTTGGGTGAATTCACTGAGCGGCTCGAGAGCTCTCTCAGGAACTGCCCCGACTGTGTCCTCAATTGGCATATGAAGCGCAAACACCATCTGCAGATCTTTTCAGAGTAATGAGTCCCCGTTACACTCTCAACAAATGTGTACCTCACTTGCTAACGTCCTCTGATCCAGGCGATGGAACGAAGATGCCGTTGGACAAATCCGAGCGTTGCTTGACAATCTCGACGTCAATCGAATCGACCACAACCTGACCTGGGCGAAACAGTTTATCGAGAAGATTGAAGAATCAGGCGCGGTATTCAAAAAGTCACAATTCGGCGACAAGCTCACCGCAGTTCATATTGCCATCTACGAGGCCCTGTGCTGCGTGCCCTATTTGGCAGACACAAAGCAACGAGCCGTGTTCCAATACGTCTTCCAGCGCTTGCAGGGCAAGTCCTACCTCAGGCTTGGAACTAAGGACCCGCTGCCTGGGATGACGTTCTTCTTGTTTGACCAGAAAAACGATGACCGCCGTAGGTGGGCGGCAGAAAACTGGAAGAACATTGAAAGCGCTGGCATGACGGAAGAACAGTTTGATTGGGCCGTGAATGATGGTCTGATCACCTCCGTGGAGTATATCAGCAAATGGGATCCATCTCAGGCTAACAGCGACCTCTATCTCGAGATGGAGCGCTTCTGGCATGGCTTTGAGGCCATCCTTAGGACCCTTAATAACGACATTATTCTGAGCCGCCTCCGTAGTCTGGAAGCCCCATTGGGGAACTTGAACATCTACGACTTGCTATTTCGACACATTCAATTCTGCCGATCCGAAGGCGTGCTGGTCATTGCTATCAAAGTTCTTAGTGGCTTGTTGAAGAAATCACCGAAAGCGTTTTGGGACGTCGTTGGCGATGCTCGGCCTAACGTGATCGCAGATCTGGTCTTCGGCAGCCCTGTCTACAAGACTCTCCTGCGGCAATCCCTCGAAGATTGTTGGTCTGTTGAAGATTCTGGGACTCCGTTTACACCGTTTCCTACTTCCTGGATTCAGCCTTGGCTCCAGTCACTCGGCCGCGATCGCAGGTACGATGCCTGCGAGGTCCTGATGCACACACTCTTCGAGATTTTGGCAAAAGACTCTAGCATCGGCGAACCTGGCCAAGCTGCCTGTGCCCGCGCCGGCTTTGACGCTCTGACCTTCACCATGAAATCGTTCCTTGATCCAGATACCCAAATTGCGTCTGGAAGCACTCATCTCTACGCCAGTGCCGCTTCGAGTCTTGTTGTTAAGCACCTCAACCTCATCCTATCAAACATGAAAGCATCTGGACGAAATGGAGAGATTGAAGGCTGGACTACATTCAAAGTTGCCGAGGCCGCCAAGGAAATGATGAGCGCCGCTATGAAGCTGGATATGAAGCTCCTCTCTGAAGAGTACCATGCCGTTGTTGCTAGCAAGCCGCTCCAAACGGCCATCATCAGAGATTCTAAAGCCTTCTGGGAAGGTGCTTTGGAAATGTTTGACACATCATCCAACCAAGTTGCCGTCGCAAAGGATATTTTTGCGTCGCTGGCACCACTTGTGGCTGTGGAGCAAATCAGGCCGCGAAAGTCTGATAATAAATTGGAAGCACCTGGCCAAACGTTTAACAAGGCTCTGGGCGATACGGCGGATGTACTTGCTAGGATCTTCGGCCGGGTCTCTGAGCTTGACGTTACTGATTTGAACGAATTATATATCGATCGCATACCTTTTCAGGTCACCACTGCCTTGTCTGTGCATGAAAACTCAGATCTTGCGGAGGCCTCGGCCGATGTGCTCAAGAGCTGGACTGGAGAGCTCTCCCGAAGCGGCGCCCTAGAGCAGATGACGCAGCATCATCCCGATCAGACGCTCGCATCCATTGTTTGGTCTTTGGAGCGCATCCTTCGACCTCCCTATCCTTGGGGCCCAATCAGACCACTCCTGAATATGAGCAGAGATGTTCTGAGAGGCCTCGCAGATCCGTCGTCGGGAGTACTCCGAGTCAGGACTCTGGACTCCAAGTCGGCCGCCACTGTTCTGCGGTGGTGGAATGAGCAGTGGCGATTCGTCTCCAAGGCATGTCTCAATATCGAAGCATGGTCTTTCTATATCCCCAACAGCATCATGACGGAGTTCTGCCGAGAAATCATGGAGCTTGCCGAAGCTCTCATTGCCGAGGATGGTCTGCTCACTTCCGCA